AAGGAACATGTGTTACTATGTCGACGTCATGCACGATAAATCACCCACGGCTTGTTGAGCCGAGCCGGGCCGTGCCTAGACTTATATCCCAGGAGCACACCTAGAGAGAACTTAAAGCGCGGCGGGCTGTATTAACCTTTCTAAGTATTCTCGTTATGGACCTGTTCCGGGTGGACGATTCGTTGCCTTGCCGTGGGGGTAAAAAAAGAAGGCATCGATATAATTGGGCGAACAGAGATTACAGTAGGCAACAAAAGCTACCTACCACCTATCCGTAAATTGATTATAGGTGCGTCAGGGGCGAAGTTGGGGTTCCGCATACGGTCGCATGCCTACCTAAGTAGATACGTACGAATAATATCATGAGGCGTACCCCGGATCAACCACGTCGCATTCCAGAACCACTTACCTACTCTGCTAACGCCTACTCTCTAATAATATAACTCACCGGTTTGCAGGTTTTTTTGATGGTTTCAGCTGCACCTCGCCAATTCAAGCCTACGCGGTCGCAAATTACTCGCATCGACAGGGTCTGACAATGACAAGACCGATCTCGCATTGGTCACCTTCTGCGCGGCTTTCGGCTGCGTAACACTGCATTCCCATCAATATATGTCGCCTCTGCAACCATATCGCCTTCGTTGTCCCTATTTGGATATCAATTAGATGCAATGCAAGCTTACTTCAGCACGTCAGCTATGCCAATCCCTGCCCCTACCACATACATACCTACTCGTACGTACTTTTCTTAGTTGGGATACGCGTTTCATGTTTCAAACAGAGGCTGAATTGTTGACCACAGAGGACATAGAAGATGAGCTCAGAGTAAGCTTGGCTGTGTACTATGTTTACTATTCCAAAATTCAAGCCTCGAACATTTTAGGAAGCTGATCTCGGAAACATTTCGCTCATTACTATTAAATATAAAACGCTAACTTAGTTAGGTATCATGTTTCTCGTCGGCGATCATTTTTGCGGGCTTCATCATGAAGGTTAAAAAAACTTTTGTACTACCCTCGGCAAATTCGCGCCTATCGCAAAACCTCGTAGCACCAATCACTACACACGCTATGATTAGACTGACAACGGCGATTCATATTTTACTAAAATACCCTCGCTCTCGCGTCTTAGATTTCCGTTGAGGTCGCTCCGCCTCGAGTCTGAACCCGAATTCGGTCCCGACAGGTTCATGAAGCTAGCCTATACCTTGCACAAAAGTTTCGGGGCGTTTCTCTGAAGAAATCAGTGTTGTATGCTTATTGATCCTCCCGCTATTTTTGCCGGGGCTCATCAAACCTCTTTAGTCTTTACGCACAGTCCCGCGCGTAAGGCTCAATCTAGATTTCATGTTCCCAAGTCGCTGTCTCACATACGAGGACGCTATTTTTTACCGTGCAGGAAGCTCCTTCGCCTTGGCTTATTGGGTATGCCTCAGGAGTGAGCTATCACACATTTTATCACGATCTGATCATATCAATTATCATTCAATCATCATGTTGACCCCGCGGGACTTGCCATGCACGACATGGGCGGGAGGATCATTTGGGTCGACTCACTATGTTTTGGCATAGGGCTCCCATCGAGATTTCCGTCAAGTTAGGGCTAATCGAGGTCTCTCGCATGACCCCAAATGTTATGAGCTGTAGATAGTCCACGCTAGTACGCCATAGCAGAAGTGAATCTTACTTCAGTCACTACTCGAAGACCCATCGCCATGTTGAAGGCGTCCGAATAGGATTCAAGGCTCTGGCCCCTTCGCAGCCTATTTTGGCCACGATATTCAGTTGGGTAACACCTAGTGGATACGAACTATGATACAGCCATATCATTAATGCATTAGCCTGTTGGTATTGACTACGACGTCAAGCCTACTGCGCCATGGTATATTCCGATTGAGGACCTACGCGTCAAAGACGATGAGATGCTTCTCCCCTCATTATCAAGACTTACCCCACCATACATAATTCTGGACTTTTGCCGTGTACATGAAATTCAAGGTATAAATTTAAGATGATTGTTACTATTATTATTGAATTAATATTTATATTCCAAGTTTTGGCCAAAGCCACTCAAACCAGGAACTCGAGGAAGAGTCATCGAAGGAATAATTCTAATCCTCCAAATGTCGAATGTTCCTACTAATATAGACACTGACTAAACATGATTACCTAGATATTATTACCTAAATAGATGTGTAAGCCCAATGTTTAGCAGTGTAACCATGAGGCGGCCAGGACTCCTAGATAGGCAGAAACTTCCGACGCCAGTTAGATGCCGACGATGTGTCCCTTTTATCAAAATCATATCGCGGCAAATTTCCTTGTATAACAAGCCATAGCTTACTAAAGTTTGGTCGTGGTAATTCTACCAGGTGATGAGCATACTACATGCAATACTAATCCTGATAACCCTCCTTTCCCCCTGTGTCGGCAAACGACAATATGTAGGTCCAGTATGAGGTGATGAGGAGCATAATAAAACACCCCTACCAAAATAAGGGTCAGATCATTCAAGCATATTGATTTTATGCCACATTTGCCTCACGGATATCATATCCAGAAGAGTAACAAGATATTATTTCTAGCCCCCAAGGAGTTACAAACAATAAATAAGCCCGTAATCAATCATGTTGTGTGATACACCAATGGCTTGCAAAATAGGACTCGTGTTCTTGGTTGTGTGCTACGGCTGAGGCAGACAACACTTCAAATTTTGTTACTCCTTTTCTACCGAATGGGGCCATGTCACCCAATGCTTATAGAGCCTTGCGGGGGCTATCAGGTTATCGTGAAAGCCTAATGCCCGGAGGCGTGAACAGTGGTCTAACCTCCCTTTTTTAGAATAGACATTTATTGGTTCTTAAAAGTTATGGAATTTTACGCACGATAAAGGGGTTTGGTGTGCTACCGGACTCAGCCATACCCGAAGAAAAGGAGAGGGAAAAATCAGATACGGTGTTGGGTTGTATAATATGAACTTCAAGGATCATCAGAGCTGCCGTAGCTAACTGTCGATGTGCTCATGAATTCGGAACTGTCCTATACATACCTAGCTAGGCACCTAGTACACCTAGTAAACAACCGGACATATATTTGTTTCCATTCTTAGAAGGTCGGTGACAATTCTAATCCGAACCGGATCAACCTCAAATCTGTTATAGAAGTTTGCCTCATGCTCGTAAGACTGATTACGCGTCTCATTCTTGGGATATCGTGAAGGATTTCTCACATAATTATCTTGTGAACGGTGGGTATACCACGGCTTACATTCAGGGGTAGCACGATGCACGATGTCAGAACAAAACTCGCTGCTTCCTAATAAAAACATCTTATAACATGGATACCAAAGTATAGTAGGGAAAGGCTGTTTAATGGCACCAGTCGCGATAGTAGGAGGAAATAGCCATATTGACGTGCAAAAAATCCATAAATACCTGGGCGATTGCCATCGGGGTCCGCTTCCACAAACACCAATAACTTTTTTCTCGCATTGCGTTCTTTCTCCCTGTGCCTCAAACCAAGGCCCACCCCCAAAACGAAAGAACGCGCAATAGGAGGCTTTGATGCCTCTATTGTGCAACACTTTCCGAGACTAGACCGTTAGTAGCATTAAACGGCACGAGAAGTCCACTAGTATAAGCATAGATAATCCAGAAGGAGTTATTCAGATTCGCACAATGTAGTACCTACAAATAACTCAATATGAACAGGAATATTCTCCTAGAAGTGCCATGAAGCGGCGTTCGTCGTATGATATGATGGATCTATACTCGTTTCCGCCTACATGGCCTCCATCTTTTGTGAACCTAGCCTGCCGTGAAAATGTGTCCTCCTAGGTAGGGGGGCAAAATATTCACTCTCGTAACCGATGAAATTCATGATTCATATGAAGTTCAATACCAACTTCTTAAGATACTCGTGAGACGTATTTGGTTTAATATTAACCATGACCAGAAGGTTATAGTATTTATGTGCTAGCTACTATTGAGCCTGCCGGAGCAAGGTTGAGGTAGAGTTTCGCCAACTTGTCATGCTCATTCAGGGGGTGGGACCATTGTAAATATAGATATCACTGACTGGATGTCCGGTTGCTTACTGCATGAGCTAGGTCACGACTACCTATTCGGCGTGTTATATATCACAAGCACCCGACATAGGAAGCTCGGCGTTTACTACGTATAGCACCTACCTAACCTAGGGACGGGGTTGCTACAGCCTACTGCCTTGGTGTTGGAGGCAATGAGCAGGAAGAACGGAGCAAACCCACATCACCTACATGTAGCTACCTCCTATATATGTAACACGATAGCGCTCTTTCTCATCAGCCATTAAGGACTGTCGATTATAACATACCGAGTCCTGATTTTAGTTTCACCTCTATTACTGTTAGACCAAGACACTCAAACATTACCTAGATACGCAGGTAATCAACCTAGCAGACCACCCACCTATGGATACCTAAGCTTCTCCTACTTGCATAACGACCAATAGCACTCGACACTCTTCTCCTTTGATAATCTGAGACAACCACTGCCTAACGCTACCACCCCCCTATTCCCTATGAGCCATACACCGATCGCATTCACCTACCTATCAATACTGAAAGGATTAATCGCATGACCTAAGAAAGTACCATAATATCGTCTTGTTATATCGGCGTCCCAATTTGTGAAACAGGCATGTGCCACAAAGAGGGAGCTTCCAGTGAGTCGCACAATCTTTAGCGTATGCAGGCCCCACAGGTGTCGAAGGAACTAACTCAGGTATAGGGGAAACATACTTAGGTACCTTTTGGACCTAAGCGCACACCCTCGTTTGCTACGAACAGTAACAAGTTCCGAATCCGAAGTTCGTTGAATAATCCATACCATACAATATTTTCTTAGTGTCACACCATAGCATACTCCTTGTCATACCATAACACCCGCCTCGTAGGATGAGCTAATCATCAGGCATACGCCAACCGCCAATATCCCCAACAGCAAATTCAGACCCACTACGATGTCGTCCCTATCAACCGTAGATGGTATTGATCAGGAGATCCAAGAGGTTCAGCTTCCGATAGCTAATAGCGATGCGACCCCGCTTCTCCTAGCTGGAACAGAGGTATCACCCCTTTCAAGCGATCCGACAGCAGAGAATAAGACGTCGGTTAACGATGATAGCGACGGGGACAATCGTGACGACGAGATTGAGGATCTGAAGAAACAGATGATCGTACTTGTCGCTTGGCTAAAGAATTTCCCACGATCCTCCCCATGCTCACCTACATTCAGTACCAAGGAGTCCGACGGATCTGAAGACGTCCAGCTTCCACACGGCGGCGATGGAGCAGGTTCAGCAACCAGTGACGGACAATGCACTCCATCAACCCCTGATACCAAAGACAGCGAGTCGATTGAGGAGAGCAGTAGCCCGAATACAAGCTACGAAGTCGAAGAACCGACCGTAAAGCCCCACCACCTGGTCGAGGACGAGGATGCAGAGGACTACGGAGAGATTCCTATCGAGCACCTGGCAAACCCTGAGAAGTACAGTAACCAGTATATCGAGGTTAGGACATCCCAACTCGGCGGCAACGGTATATTCGCTAAGACGGATCTGGAGAGTGGCCAGCTTATCTTGGTGGAGAGGCCTATGCTGACGGCTACACCCATGACTCTGTACGAGGAACTCGAGAATCTTGCGCCGGAACTACGAGAGACGTTCTATCGTATGCACGGCCACAAGCGATACGGATCGCACGAGGTGCGCCAAGCTATCTTCCTCACGAATGCGTAAGTAGATCCCTACCCTACACTCTCTTATAAGGAATCCTCTAATCAAGTACAATGATCGGTTAGATTCTGCGTCGGAAGTATCTCATGTGTCTACTCTATCGGCGCGCGATTCAACCACGCCTGTAACCCGATCAACTCAGTCGCCTATCGTGTCGAACCGGGCTGTACGATGGAATTCCGAGTTAACCGAGACGTACCGGCGGGCACCGAGCTCACAGTTGCGTACGGACGTCTATCTCCGAGAGAACTGTATATCTTATGGGGCTTCCGGTGTGCATGTGGCGCCTGCAAACCCCTCACGGATAGGGACATTGCTAGAATGGAAGAGAATTGGTAGTATCTTCTCCCAACGAGGAAGAGGGATATGAAAAGGAGGAAGAAAATATTGGAATGATACTTGTAAAATGGTTTCAGCATTGTGGATTTATACTTTACAACCACATCATCATGCATACATCGGTATAACCTTATACTTAAGGATTTCCTACTTAGGAAGTATGGAACTGAATGCCCTCTTGTGTTTGGCAAGGACGGGAAGTACCGTGCCCGTACAGTCCTAGCTCAGACTCTGATGTCATATTTCAGCCACAGGGGGACAAAAGAGGGTTTATACTCAAGTTATGCTGGAATTCTTTAGGCAGATACCTGAGTACTAAGAATTGAGCTATCGCGATTGATTTCTATACATATCTATTTTCTTTCTTAATGAATAGAAAGACTGAAAGAAGAATCTTTTGTAGGTGAAGGTATTTGGAGGGGTACAATACATCTGCACGTAGCCGTACGAAACACGCTAAACCTTATAATCACGTGCAATCGTGTCTTATCTACCTAGATGATTGGCTCAAACACAAGCCACAGCAAACGCGGCGTCAAGGATAGCCCTATTACCCTTAACCTCGAACCTGAACACCAGCGGGACGACTCCGAATTTGATCCATTTGATATCCCATCTTCCCGTGGGAAGTATGGCTCTATTCAATGTAGGTACACAGGAAATATTCTGGGCAATCATGTGCTTTAATGGATGGTACTCTAGCGAGTACCTATCTGGGTATGTACGGTACTTTATACAGCACACCTCAACCACCTACATGCGGCCTACGGTGCATGTATTGATGTAGGTTTGCCTGGATAGATGTAATGGAAGGAAGGTGCCTCGTCCCTACCACCAAAGCACTTTTTGTTAGATTTTAATTCGACAATGAACCTCCTTCCACGCTTCGTCCCGCACTTGTCTCTTAATCTCTTCGTTGCCTAGGTATCCTTACGTGCGAACTAGTCAACAACACTGTCATTTGTTACTTGGACCACTTTGGTACAACATTTTCTAATTCTTCTCAACCGAGTGCCTTATTATTACTCCGGCATCATTCTTCCTGTGCGACTGATTTGAGATTTTGACGCCCTTTTACACCTTTCCAAACCAAATCCTATCAAGCACGCCGCACTCAAGGGTTTGGCTTTTCGTTCTGTTTCTTGCTATCTGAATAGTCTATCCGGATACTTCATTATCTGTCATTTCCACACATCAGCTCTATTTCATCTCTAGACCTCACCCTTAAATCGTTTGCCCATCATGCCGTCAACTCCGGAGTTCGACTACTACGCCGCTCTCGAGGTGGAAAACACTGCAACGCCGCAGGAGCTCACAGCAGCCTACCACCGTCTTGCCAGAATCCACCATCCCGACAGGAACTTCGGCAATGTTGAGGCTGCGACCGCAACCTTTCAAAGAGTAATTTCGCACCTTCATCTACTATCGCTGGAGCTATGCTAACCTGCTACAGATCCAACTGGCTTACGAGACACTCTCCAACCCCCAGAGACGTACCAGATACGATCTAGGTCTCAACCCCCCTGCATCCTCATCAAGACGCAGCAGCACTTCCAGCTCTGAGTCCTCCTTCGATCCCTTTGACTCCGCAACTTCGGATGAGGGAAACAACTTTTACTATTTCTTCTTCGACGACCAGGCTAGACGCCGCGCCGAGGCTGTAGATGCTTTAAATCGGCATATTTTAGCGGAGTTCCTGACTCGATTGGCTGAAGCTAAAGGTAGAGAGGAGGCTAGAAGGCAAGAAGAGAAGGCCAAAGAAGAGGCTAGAAAGGAACGAGAGGAGAAAGAGGCCGAGACAGAGCGCCTTCAGAAGGCTCGAGAGGAAGCCCGCGTGATTATGGAGGAAACGAAAATGAGAGAGAAGCAAGACCGTCAAAGGGAGGAGAAGGCGAAACAGGAAGTTCGCTGGGAGGCACATCACGCTCAGACCAAGGAGGAGAAGCAGAATATTTGTCTCCACTCTTCGTCCTGTGAGAAGACCCAGCACAGAGGCAAGGTTAAGTGTGGATCTTGCAATGTCAAGAGAGGCATCACTTCATTCGAGTGCCCTTACTGCTCACTCTCCATCTGCCAGAAGTGTATCTTTGACTTCGAGAAGAAGCGAATTGCCACCGACAACCAGTCTGCTACTAAACCCTCTACCGATTCCGCTACTGAGCCCTCTTCCTCCGTCGAGGCTGAGTCTATCTCTGAGGACAAGTCAACCGCGGAACCCGAGCCTGCTACGAAGCCTGCACCTGTTGTCGACCCCGAACCTACCCCTGAGGATAAGCCGGCTACCAACCCTGAGCCTACTACCCAGCAGAAGCCCCAGGGAAACTCAAAGAACGGCACCGGAAACAAGAAGCCTGGTAACGGTAACCAGAACAAGCCCCGTTGCTACAACTGCAACATGATCGGCCACATCGCCAAGCACTGTCGCAACCGCCACACCAACCAAGGCCAGAAAGCTTACGTCGGAAACACCAAGGCGGATAACGGAAACTACAACTAGGACAACTCAAAGTCCAGAATTTCAGGGATTTGTAACAAAATTGGCATTTTTCGGTTTGCTTTTCTTCGATTCGCTTTCAGTCTTTTGCAATGAACTGCGCCTTGGGCCATATTGATGACACATGAGGATTAGCGCAGGAGAATACCCCGAAGGAAAAAAGGTACTCGAGTGGTGCTAAGATTGAGGCTACATGATTGTTTTGTCTTGTGTATTTGCTAATTGACATCTGGAGCACTTGGGCTCACTGACGCCAAATCGTTCTGGCTTTATTGAAAGATGCTGGCCATGCGTGCTTTTTATGTAGCTAGGTAGTGAAGGAGCTATGAATGAAATGAATGATGAATACGTGATGTGGATAAGGGGCGATGTGATCTTTACTTGAGAAGACTGTGGTGTTGAAGTATTAACCCTTAGGGAATGGCCTAGCCCCCCGCCCGCTGGATTACTGCCATATATCACTAGGATGATTATACGCCCACATATAGTTATAACTATTCCTGGTGACTGTACGTAGCCTGCTACCAAAGATAACGACAAACTGGTGTTAATGGGGTTTATTGGGTGGAATGTTACAAGACAATTTCCCTCTCGATTGACATGTATCTCCGCACCGCAACAAGATCTAGTAGATCGTGACATTTTACTTGCTGGGGGGAAAGTATCATGTTACCTATTTGGTCTTGGCTAGCATTGGACTAAGGAAATCGTTGGTCACACTAGTAGTACTTCATCGGCGGGATCTATTCTCCGTACTAGTTTGGTGACATCGCGGATCTAGTACGGTAGCTAGTGCTTTCATAGGTCGTGTTCAATTAAAGGGGGTATCTATATGCGGTTCTGCTTAGATTATCTAGACTAAGGAGTAACTTCCTAACAAATGGTTCTATGTACATATATAGGGATTAACGGGAGCACTTATCGACATTCTGATAAACGATTTAGGAACATACCTTATAATTGCCCTTACCGTCTATCTCGTCCTTTTATGAGTTTGCGATTTTAATGGGATGTGACCTACAATGAGCGAGATCACTGTAATTCACCTCAAGTAGTACAGTTCAAATTCAGCAGTAGAAAACTCGAAAAGAACGAAGCGTAATGTCCAGGTATACATAGCTGACTGGTCTTCTATTTCAAGGGTTTATATATCAATTTGGGAATCTGCATCGATCTGGTATATTGTTGTCCTGCAGAGCAACCCTATTCCCGCCATCGTCACCGTTCGCGGCTCCTACCGAACTAGCTTCCAATGTGTAAATACTTGATAAGTGGCCGAGCTCTCCGGGCTGTCCCGTGCCGTTCCGAGATCTGCTTGATGATATTGCTTGTAACCGACCGCCAAGTACCTAGGCTACTTCGATCTCCCTTTCTTTGCTTCTGTACCGAATTCCCTCCCTCCTTTTTGGCTTTAGATCCTCTTCTCCTCCAGCCTGCTAGCAGACGCAACTTCGCTCCCGCACTCGAATCTCACTCCTTCTCGTGTGTATAAAGCTTAATAGGGCACCGCCGTCGAAAACAGATTAAAAAAACAAACAAATGAAAAAGAACAAATACGTTGTATCGCTTTCGGATACCGAGGTGGCAGCAGCAGCAGCGGCGGCGACTGCGCGGCTCAACTTATTGGAGCCGACACATATAGCAGCACCGAACCCTTCCTCTGACCATGTACCAAAATCCAAACTGATACTCTTGCGCGCTGCCCGAGCATCTTCCTTGGGAACTATTACACTTTCGCACGTGAATTTCGAAACGGCAAACCCCTCTATTGAATTGAGTAGTAGCTGCGCGGTTACACTCTGAACCAGCTCGAGATAAATCCGTCGAGGACAGGAAAGGAGGTAAAGGTAAGGAGGGCGGAGCGAGCTCACGCAACCCAACTCGGTATATAAGATTAAACAGTACATATACACCAAAATCTGAAGTTATTGATTGTCACCAAACGCCCGCCGCTATGATAAACTGCTACCTAGGTAGTGGTTTTTGATTGGAGTTGTCGTCCTTGTAGAATAGAAAAATTATTAACCGAAGTTTAAAGAGTGACATCGAGAACCAGGCTGACATCCTGTACGTTGGCTCCGGCCAGATCTTCGAGAACGGGTATCAAGTCTAATAGTTCGTTATCGTGGGCATCCGAAAACCAACTGCTAATGGGCACGGCGTGTTGAGGGTGGAATATGTATGAGGTAGGTGAGTTGTCGATGATTATCGTGTCTTTGAGATCCCTGCCGACTTGAGAAAGATCCTTAACATAATTGCCTTGGTGGTTATAACAGCTTTCGCGGAACAGCCTGTGGTGGACAACCTTATGGATGTCAAGTTGGTCTAGTAACGGGTCGCCGTACTGTTGAAATTTGGTTAGACACGAAACTGTTGGAATGGCATACAGGACATACCTTGGAGACAGAAGCTGTGAAAACTACAACTTCATAAAGCTCGCCCACCCGCTTCATGAACTGATCGACACCTGGTCGTTTGATGACGTATACATTGTGATAGTTTCCTTCAATCTCAACCGGTATCGTGAAGTCGGCTTGATGTAATAACTGGGAAAATTAGCCTATTTCTTATTCCGTAGAGCATTCCATAGCTTACCTTGAAGGAACTATGTACTAATGTCTCGTCAAGATCTAGCACGAGACACTTCCTACCCTTGAGATGGGATTCGATAGGCGGTAAGAGGAACTTCTGTTGACCTTGTTCCATATCCATTGATGTGTCTTCCGCGGTGACGGGGACAGGGTTAGCAACAGGTATTGGCCCTGGTGGTGGAGGGGGAACCGGCTTCGCATACTGTTCGTCGGTTCCCGCACTAGGTTGTTTGACGGGTTCGGCTGTGGCTGGTGTGACATCCGCCATCTCAACATCGCCGTCAACGTCCCTAGTGGAAGGCTCTTCGGTTGCAACCGCCTCCGCTTCATGATCCTCTGCAACCGGCGGATTGACCGTGATGCTGGGGCCCGACACGCCGACTAGAGTAGTCTGTTTTGATTCACTCTCACGGTCGCCAACTGTCGACTGATCCTGAGTCGTAGAAGCCGAAGCTCGTTTTGTGGATTTGGAAGTGTCCAAAGTAGCAGTGCCCGTTTGATTTTGTGAATCCTTCTCCTTCTCATAGGCCTGAGTCTTGTTACCAGCGGTCTGGTCGGAAGGTGTTATAGTCCGCCGGCTAGAAGTTAAGGGTCTTTGAGGAATCTTGTCGAGTTTGTGTGAAGGAAGTGGATCCTCACCACCTTCGAGAGTATTGGCGTTGTTAGGAACAACACAGCAGCCAAGAAGCGAGAGTAACCCGCCTTTTTTCCTCCGCTGAGGAGCCCCAGCCGGAGAATTTGGCTGCGATGTGCTTGGTGTAGTTGTAGGATTCGTGGCAGCCCCAGAATGATTACTGGATGCGCTACCGTTCCGACGCCGGCCCAACATGCTGTGCTTTGATTCCTTAGAATGGCCACCAATACTATCTCTTGGATCGTCAGCGGTAGTCCCGCTTAGCCCCGTTGTCGCCGGAGATGACTGTATTTTTTGCGACGATGATCTTGATGGGACGTTTAATAGACCGCGACCTTTTCTTATTCCTGACCCATCCTCAGGCGATACTGTGTCTTTTTCCCTCGAGCCGTCGTGCTCCGCCTGTACCTTTTCATCGGCACCCTTGGACATCTTCCTCAATTAAACACCAACTGTTGCTGATTGTCGGGGATGGTACACTATCGCGCTATAAAACAATACTTGGTTAGATGACTAGACACGCTTGGACAAAGACGCGGGATAGAAGCAAGGAGCGAAAAAAGCCAAGGCGCTTTGAAGCGAAGAAGTCTCAAATGAATTACGACGTGGTGGTTTCGAGAAGATTGTCAGACTTAGCGCAAGCCACGTCGAAGGTCAATTGGAACCAACAGTGCCTTCCAAGTAGAGTAAATCGGATAAAAGAATGGCTGCGATCAACAAAAAGAACATATCATTAGTTATCACTCACCTCGGTGTTCAGCGACAGTTCACCTTGGATAGGTACCCAACCCCCTGACGCAGCAATTGGTGGCCTCGGGCGGCCAAATCGGTATCGTAGCCGTGGCCGCGACGACGATCGTATTGAATGGGAGGCTAGTTGATACGGTTAGATCGAAGCGCAGATGGTAGACCGAATTTCGGATGGCCACGAGGTAAGGGAGGGCGAAAAAGAGCGATGCGATGAGGAAGAAAATGTCGAGATTACCGGCGCGCGTCGTGAAGGAGGCTTATTCTGATAATTCGAGGGAAGGATTAGGAAGTGGGTCGGCGGCGGCTTGGAACTTGTTGCAAGCTTGTCTAGGAGCGAAATGATTTCTACCCGGATACAGAATGACGAGCCTCGGAAGGTACCTCTCTTTCTCTCTCTTCATGCGGGTATCTCGAAAAATAACCACAAATAGCCGTAGTAGTAATAATAATAATAAGTAATAATAATAGAAGAAGAAAAAATTGGCACAAATGCCCAAAAAATCCTGACAGTCCGGAGAGAGACCCTAGGAAAAAGGGAGAAACGAAATTGAAAATGGGATTGAGGTTGGAAGTAACTGAACAAGCGCCTGGAGCTGGAAGATGGGAGTACCTAAGGTAACATGAGGGAAGCAAGCTTTTGGTACCTTGGTAATTCGTAGGTAGGGTAAGGTAAGGGTATTGTAGGTATTGTACAAGTACAAACAGAGCTGGCTGTAATGTGGTGTAGTATGTAGGTTAGGTGGTAAAAAGAAAAAGAAAAAAAGATGAATGGGGTTAAAACTCCCTTCGCTCTCTCTTTCGCTCTCAACGCTCACACGCACACACACGCTCACTCTTTTCTTTTCTGGTGTCTCGTTTCGCAGAGGCTGAAGAAAGTCTGGAATCGCAAGCGAAATGATTCCGTAGAGAAACTGAACCACATTGGGGGAGAGCACGGAGCAATTTTACCAGGGGGAAAGCCGCTAGCGTGCCTGCTTAAATCACTACGACCGGGGGTAGACCTGCCCCCCCAGTTGATTGTTAGCCCTGTTACTGCATATAGCGGCCAAAAGCTGGGCGCTTTAGGTGGATCCCTCCAATAACGATTCAACCAGTAGGATTTCTGAGGGTCACAGTGTACTCCGTACAATTATTACTGAAACGGACCAGGACGGAACTTCTTTGCCATTAGGATCTGTTAAGTTAAAGACGAGTATCTCTTAGAGATCACTAACAAAAGCTAGCCCACTTTCGGTATCACACTACTTAGTGCTGCCCCCATCCGCTCAGTCTAGTGTAACTTAGCCCCTACCAAAGAATTAGGTACTTAATTATTTGCAATTTCGCCGGCTTCTAATCATTACTTGCGATAGCTCCTCTCTTTTTCTCAACAATACAGTTAGTACACACTTTAGTCTACACATATTATTTATACTATTTAGTACTACTTGCTGGAGGGTTGTCAGTTGTTGGATAATTTTGTGTAATACAACGGCAAGGCAGATAGCTGACGAGTGTTCCCATTTTCATTATTATAAATGTCTTTGGATGTACATGAAATTTAACATGCAGACTTGGTGTCACTCTAAGCACAAGACCTACCAAGTTGGGGTCAAGGGTCAAGGGTCAGAATATTTCTCCATAGGTAGTACGTTAGGTAGGTGGGTGTTGCGGCTGCATGTCTACTATTTTCTTTCTACGAATAACACAAACTTTTCTCCCATATCTATCTTCGTCCTAAGATACCCGATATGTTAAACAGAAAAAATCGAACCATGGCTGCTGCACAAGTAAAGAACATGCACGCCATTCAAAGCGTCACCGAGACGAATAGATGATAAGAACCATCTATTGTGTGACCTTACTTGCCCACCGCATCTCAGTAGTGCATCCACGGGTATAGCGAGAGACATTCCGCTACCGCTACAACAGTGTCCAGTGCCCACTATGCATAAGTGACCGGTAACCTCTAGCGTCGAGAGGGCTAGGATAGCTACCTAAGTGTTTGCATGGAAAGTGAGACTGTCGAGGCGAACGAAGTATGCAACTTTTCGGTGTTGGGATCTGATTGGTTATGTTGGCGCCCGCCAGAGTGACGGTTGAGAACCATGGAAATGGAACTACGCTATTCGTTCTTTTTATTCCAAAGCACAAGACATGGCTTTACCTTAGTTTCTGAGGTTCCGGGGATCAACTGATCTCCCATAATTATTACAACGATTGTGAGCCCTTAACAAACATTGATGATACGAGGGGGAATTATGCCAACTCTCAAGATATGAGATATGACCCATACAGCCCATTATCTATGTGAGTAAGTTGGACGAACCAAGATCTCAAGTTATTTTTATCTCTCAACATCCATCCAGTCGGGATCTTAAGACTGTTTTAATATCGGTCCGTTAGCCTTCCCGCGAATTTAACCAGGTTGAGATATCCTCATTCTTCATAACTATAATACTTAATAACTTACGGGCTTCAATCCGGACAAATGAACAAAATAGAAAAAGAAGAAGAAAATAGATCCAGAAAAAAGGAAAGAATAGGAGAAACGCTACTAACCTTAAAGGTTATTTTTAATTTCCACCCCGGACTTTTGTAATTAAAGCCTCTACTCCATGGTTTAAGCCACAGCTACCACATGCAGCTTGGTCGTAGATCCTGGGGAAATGTGGCTCATCCTTGAAGAGATTGATCACATGATGCTATCCGAACCTAACCTTGAATTCTAACCAATAGCATCAAGTTAACTTCTTTAGATTCCCGAATATACTCAGGTACATTCCCAAATGTATACCTCGGGTCATCACATGCCTCAGCTAAGTCGCTTTCAATCGTCACCAATGACGGAGTTACTAGCTACCCTAGCTATCCCGGCTATTCCATCTCTTATTCTTCTCCGCCTCAATCCTTCCTCAAAGACATGTTTATAATACTTAACTATATAATAACAAATATCCAAACTATTTCGTTAACCTATCGATCTTATACAGCCTAGAAGAGACCAATCCCGTAATAAACCATCACCTTTCATTGCCAATGGCAACCAAAGTAAACAGCTTACAGACGGACCCCATTTGATGTCATGACACGATGGCGGTACAATCCACACTTCGTCACTCGGCGTCCGAAGACATCCTCGTAGCTTTTATCGACAAATACACGAACCTGATCCGTAATCGCATACGAAAGACCTCCCGCCGTACCAAGCTCCTCGCGACCCTCACCCTCGCCGCATCTATAATTCTCAGCGCAGAAGGTGGTCGGAGATGGTGGAAACGTAGGAGACAAGAGAAAGAGCAAGGTCGTAAGCTTGTGCGCACTAATTCGTGGGTGTTTAATAAGGATGGGTCGAGGACTGTGTACGTCCCGTATAAGGACGGGACGTCCAAGGTCGTCATACATAGGACGAAACCGCTGACCTTCGAGGCGCATCGTCGGCTATTCTTGAACCCTCCGAAGGTATCGGGGCTCGGCGATGGCACCGTTCCTTCGGCGCAGACGAAACCGGGGCTGAATCTCGCCTTCTTACATCAGTTTCTAAGCTTGATGAGTATCATGATACCGCGATGGACGAGCAAAGAGGCGGGGTTGTTAGTAAGCCACGGCGTATTTCTAATGCTGCGCACCTATCTATCGCTAGTAGTTGCGCGGTTAGATGGTGAGATTGTTCGAGATCTAGTTGCAGGCAATGGACGGTTATTCCTCTGGGGTATACTAAAGGTATGCTATGAAACCTATCACTGACCTTACTATGAACCTGTTACTAATTCTTAAATCAAGTGGTGTGGACTTGGAGGTTTTGCTTCTTACACCAACTCCATGATCAAATTCCTAGAATCGAAAGTGTCTATTGCGTTCCGAACCCGATTAACGAGATATATCCATGATCTATACCTAAACGATAATCTAAACTACTACAAGCTATCCAATTTAGATGGTGGGGTTGGACAAGGAGCCGACCAATTTATAACCCAGGACTTGACATTATTCTGTGCTTCCGCCGCGAACCTGTATTCTTCACTAGGAAAACCATTCGTCGACCTTTGCGTATTCAACTACCAATTATACCGATCGTTAGGACCGCTTGCGTTAACTGGTCTTATGAGCAATTACTTCTTAACAGCGAGTATTCTGCGGAGAATGTCACCACCTTTCGGAAAGTTAAAGGCAGTTGAGGGACGTAAAGAGGGAGATTTCAGAAGTCTACACGCCCGGTTAATCGCGAACGCCGAAGAAGTTGCTTTTTATGGCGGCGCCGAAATGGAAAAGACATTTTTGAACAAAGAATTCAAGTCCCTTAAGAGCTGGATGGAAGGCATATACCTACTAAAGATCCGCTATAACATCATGGAAGACTTCATCTTAAAATACAGCTGGAGTGCTTACGGCTACCTCCTTTCCTCCTTGCCAGTCTTCCTCCCGGCTTGGGGTGGCTTAGGAGGAGCAATGGAAATGGTCGAGAGCGCTGAGAAAAGCGGCCGGGAACGAAATCGGATGAAGGACTTCATCACGAATAAACGCCTCATGCTTTCGCTTGCGGATGCAGGTGGCCGAATGATGTACTCCATCAAGGACCTGTCCGAACTCGCTGGTTACACTAGTCGCGTTTATACCTTGATCTCGACGCTACACCGCGTCCATGCCAACGCATACTTCACTCGTCCGAGCGGTAGCGAGTTATACTCGCTTTCAGATGTTCAAGGTACTATCCAGAAAGGCTTTGATGGTGTGCGATTCGAACATGTGCCTATTGTTGCTCCTGGACTGTGGCCACAGGGTGGAGAGGAGCTACTTGATTCGCTATCTATGATTGTCCGACGAGGAGAGCACTTGTTGATATCTGGCCCCAATGGTGTGGGTAAGAGTGCCATTTCAAGAGTACTTGCTGGACTCTGGCCAGTTTACCGTGGCTTGGTTAGTAGACCTAAGTCTATCGGCGAGGATGGCATCATGTTCTTACCCCAAAGACCGTACCTGAGTGTCGGTACTTTACGTGACCAGGTCATCTACCCGGATGGCGAATTGGATATGCGTCTTAAGCGCAAGAGCGAAGACGAATTGAAGCGAGTTTTAGACGCTGCTAAACTTGGCTATCTACCCGATCGTGAAGGAGGCTGGGATACTAGAAAGGAATGGAAAGATGTGTTGAGTGGTGGTGAGAAGCAAAGAGTTGGTATCGCCCGCTTGCTGTATCATGAGCCTCAATACGCCGTCATCGATGAAGGTACTAGTGCCGTCTCGAGCGACGTAGAGGGTCTCTTGTACGAGACATGCAAGGAAAGGGGTATCAGTAAGTTTATCCATGATTGTCCTCTTTTCAACTCCTCAATTAACATTTGATAGCTCTAATCACCATTTCAACGCGCGCTTCTCTGAAGAAGTACCATACCTTCAACCTTAGCCTTGGAGGTGGCGATAATGGAGATGCATGGGAATTCGAGCGCATCGGAACCGAGAGGGAGAAGATGCAAGTCGAACGCGAATTACAGGAGCTTCATGAGCGTCTATTACAAGTCGAACAGTGGAAGCAACGCCGCGAGGAAATAGAAAAGGAGCTCGCGCAGGTTTGGGTTGAAGGTGACGCTTCATCGTTAGATCCACCTCCTTACGTTGATGCTGTTGAGACTCTTGAAGCCGAGTCTGAGAAGGGCGAAGCTCAATAGACTAATAAACGAAACTCATGGAATATGTACCTAGGTAGAGTTGCTGTACCATTGCCGTGTACGAGTAACTTGTAGCATGAGGCAATTTATGATATTAAACGTGACCATCGTCAATAAGAGTCAGACGCAGCAAGTGAGACATCTAGCACATACCTACAAAGATGGTCTTTCTATCAGACAGATCAATGCCAACACATCGCGAACTATTTAGATAAATCATATATTAACAATTGAAACATTATCTTCCCTATACCCCGTTGCGAGTTGGTAATATGCCATAATATCAGGTGGTGATATTTACGAGCGAGTGTTCCTAGAGCGGAACATGCTCAGCCACGTAAGCATTAACTATGAGTCGCTATAAAGAGCCCTAGCATGCAGCTGACACCCACACCTAGATAGATAAATAGCGCCTGTGCTCCTCTGGCTTCAGAGCTCCTTAGTACTATCTTACGCCTAAAATTAGCCCATAAAATGCTTCTACTACCTACCACCATCGTTTCTTTACTGCTCAGTGCCAGCCATCCTCTGTCTGTACTGAATTCTACAAACAGCTTGGAGCACAGATGTCCGTGCAAAACTCACCAGATACACGCATCCAATATCCCCAAGAGCGACGATGAATATAAGATGAAAAGTATCTCTCACACAGTTAATGTGCCAGAATACTTTCAACATTTTTCAAATATTGAGAAACAAGGTCGAATTTTTGCTCAAGGGCGACAAATTGGTGAGGAACATGCTCCAGAGGACACTCAAAGTAGAAGATTTGGGTTCACCTGCAAAGATGATAAGAACAGATCCAGTTACTATAAGAAAAACTATCTAGAACATATTATTCAATAACTCCCAGGAGGGCCAGGACCTATACAAATTAAAGTCTACCCGCACTATTTCGAGAACCGCGAAGAGTTTAAATGGCCCCTAAACAGTATAGCTTGTGAGCATGCTGGTTTCAGAAGACTTGAGACGCCCCTCAAAGGAAATGGATTGTTCAAATGGACGCGCTATATGTTTTGGTCCTGGCCTCCGTCCAATGTATCTGCTATGCCCCAGAAGGATATCAATGAGGCCAGGCCGCATCCCGGGCTCGTCAGGGTTGTGTATGTTTACAACCACGAAACGGAGGATTTGTTGTGCGGTGTGATCATCCATAAGAGCTCCTCCAACGAGTTTAAACAGTGTAAATACTTAGGCAGATAGCTGTAGATCAATTGTAAAACGAAAGAATTCATTTACTCAGACACGCGCTCATCTATACATATTTCGGCAATCTAGATTTATTATATCATGATCGACACGCATCAAGCTGAATGTGGGGTTGCTGCGGCGAGGCATACAGCATACTCACCCCCTGTAATTTATACATAGCCCCAAGCCATGCCTATGACTACTGTGTTCTCAAGCAATTTGTATGTCAAGACCTCGTTTCCTTCTTTTATATGTAAGCAAGTAGCCCAACGACGTTCGTAGTGTATCTTCACGCTGTCTTATCTAACAAAATCTCGCGCACGAAATCGCAATGGGGTCTCGATCAGGGGCAAGACAGGACAGGTTCGACAGCAATTCAAGTGCGAATACGTCGAAAAAGCCTAGACCTAGAACTTCGCAAGCTGGTCACCCCGGTCCACCTTCGTATCAACAGGCTATAAAACAAAACGATAGGTTTGATGCAAGATATTTAGCTGAGGGAAGCACTCACTCAGTTCACGGCCCGCCTTGCAGCCATTGGGCAGATTGCAATTGCGAAGCGACCGGTAACTTTAGAAAATGTTGTTCATGCATGGACACACGTTCTGTGACAAAGTCCGGGCTTTACACAGCATACGTTGATGGCGAAGGTTATGTTGAGAAGGCTACGAGATGGCAATACTATTGTCCTAGCTGTAAGGGTACGTTCGTAGTGTTGCGAGAATCCCCTCTGCACGGCCCCTATCTAACTTCAGCAGAATATTTTGATCCAGACGCCAAGGCGAAGGTCCTACGAGATCAAAAGTTATGGGCAGAAAAGCGCGCCCGGTCTTTAGCTGAGGAGCGGGATCGAGCGTTTTTCGGCCTCGGACGATATTTTCTCAGATAATAAAAGGTTGCTTCCCAGAATGAAATGGTGCTTCCGGCAATCTTCTGAGCGTGTTAACCCAGATCTCCATTATTCCATCGCAATATTCTCCAATATGCCGTACGGCAGGTGGAACGAATTCATGGCCGAAAACCCACCATCTGATCTTATAGCCAAAGGCATATGTGTTCTATTCACTATCCTATGCGGTCTCATTATTGGATGTGTGGTTTTATTCTCAATTTTTTGATATACCATATATGTTCAACTTCAAGCGATTTCAATACAGACTTTTCCCTGGTGCTTACCGGAGGCTAGATACTCATACGCCTCCTTCGTCTGTTCCAGCTTGAAGACCTTAGAATCAATAACAGGACGCAGCTTTTTGACATTGGCTTCAATAGCTCGGCACATATCCTCCATCTGAAGCCGAGTTCCAATCCATATTCCCCGAGACGTGAAGAGACTCATCCAACAATCCAGCAAAGTGGGCATCTGTGGAACATCGCCACTACTAGCGACAGATCCAACTACGGTGATAGTTCCGTCGAGCCTAAGACTCACAACACTTTGATTCATCGTTGTCGGGCCTGCAACTTCGATGACATGATCGACACCAACTCCTCCGGTCAGTTTCTTAGCTTCTGCGCCCCAGTCGGGAGTCTCGCGATAGTTGATAATATGATCGGCACCCAACTTCTCAAGCAACTTCGCCTTCGAGCTAGAACTTGTTGTCGCAATAACCCTTGCGCCGACCGCCTTGGCAAATTGAATCGCAAATATGCTCACCCCGCCCGTACCCTGCGTGAGCACCCAATCGCCGGCACGCACTTGCCTCCCCGAACACCCGAACAATGCGTTCCAAGCCGTGAGACCAGCGCAGCTAAGAGTAGCCGCCTCCGTGAAAGACAAGCCTTTCGGCATTGCTACAAGACCGTGCTCGTCAAATGCGCCCACCGACCGCAGCGTGCCGTCAACCGACGCTCCAAGACCGAACTTTAGGAACTGTTCTTTGAAGGAGCCGGCAATTAGTGGAGGAGTCAGCACTGTGATGACCTTATCACCGGGCTTGAAACGCGATACACGTTTTCCAATGGCAATGACGGTTCCAGCACCATCGGAACCTGGAACTACGCCGTCTTTGGCGTCCCATGGGAATGTGCCTTCGGATACCATGAGGTCACGGAACTTGGATTCATTGTTAGTTCATTATGGTGATGGGAAGATATGTGAGAACTTACGTTGAGGGATGCGCCTTGGACTATAGTTGATAGTTAGTGGAATTCCAAATATTCTTACGTTGCAGACTTACTTTTGACCAAAACTTCGCCATCTCCAAGTTCAGGAATAGGCTGCTCCGAAAGCTTGAGGGACTCGATGCCCTCCTGACCTATGACGTTCCATGTCTTGGTGGTCTTCGGGATTGATTGAGCCATCGTAATACGTGAATACGATAGTAGTCTTATCGTCTATATCCCATTATGAGATAGCGGACTCAAGCAATACCAGTCTACTATTTATTTTCACACTCAGGGGGCGTGCATGGAGACGGAATTCCACGGAGTTGCTTAGTCATCCAGGGGTTCAATACGTCGATTGGTAATCATCATTTATATAGTCGAATGATCCACCAACAACTGTACCTTTTTCATTCACTTACGTCTTTTATTCTAGGATCGGGTGGTTTTTAGTTCTCAGTTGGTCGAATATTGCCTGATACTGGTGGAGAAGGTGAGGAGTCTGGGAGTAACAGCTGGGAGGGTGAATGATCAAAGGGAACTCACCGATGACGGGATATGGATACTCTACCTACGTAATTGGAATCGAAGTAAGTAACTCATGTATGATGGTTTTGTAGATCGATAGCTAACGCCACTCTAGAAATTTGCATGTTAGCCGGGAGGGTTGCCTTTGGTTTCATCTCCTAATTCAAATTTGAAAACAGATGTTCTCATTCGAACTCGCTACTTTCAGCTTCGAAAAACCACGCCGCCGCTAGTCTACGAATGAGAGGTATATATATTAATGGTAGACGATGCTGTACGGAAGACGTGTGCCCATGCATATTGTCAAGCAGGTTGAGGTCCCCAACCGCGTGCTAGCTCCTAAGTAGGTGCTTCGGGTTCCTTAGCAACCTTGTACTAAATAGTTGATGCCTCAGGAGAACCAGTGTTCGTACAGCAACGACGCAATAGTAGCCCAGCAAGCAATACCCAATCACCCGCCCTAGGTTTAAATAGCATAATATAATGTAGGCTTTTGACCATCTCCCGTAGGTCACAGGCAATGCCCTGTGGTCTAGTGGTGAGATGGCCGCCCCCCTCAGTAAAAACCCTGTCGCTATGTCTTCCTGTATGTGGACTTTTCGTAGGCTTCAACTGCTACAGGAGTTCGTCTAAGACTCCCTTCGGGGGTGATCTACAGATGGACTCCTGTCCTGCCGAGCTTTTTTTGCCATTTTTTATGATTGATTATTCCATTTTTCTTCAATAGAAAAAGACGCCAAAATTGAATGTTCCTCTCAGATTCGAACCCTCAATTTCTCCCCTATTATTTACACATATACATATGTATCAACGCGTCGACTAAGAGGCATTCTCAGTTCCACACCATCGTCAATACGCGAGTCGGACACTAGAGGTGAAATCAACATTGCGCGTCAAATTCAAGAACCTGAAATGACTAAGGCAAATTACAGCAAAATATTTTCCCCCTATATGGCTCTTTAAGATTGATCCGAACAAACTTGGAAGCTTACCATGAGAAAAGGGGCATTCTTTCAACTTCTAGTTGTTGCATAACATGCGTGTATACGAAGTTGATTTTTAATTATTCATCTATCAAGTTGCTCCGATATATGCATTTTATTTATTTAATTTCGCCTCTTGCCCTGGAATCTCATCTTAACAACCATCAAACGGGCGACGGGATGATATTGACCATTCATATCTATTAGTTGTCTTTCTAGTGCGCCTTTCTCTTATCTACTTTGGGTCTTTTACAAACAGTCTTTACCAATATTTCTTGATATGTGCTAATTAACAGCGGGTTCCCCCCTTGTAATAGTTTCCTATCCCCCCATTAAAGCCGAAGAGACCCTGGCAAATGTTACAGCGGAGCAACTCTGCGTCTCCATCTGATATGTACCTCTACGTCGCCTATCTTGGCTACTCCAACTACAACCCGCGATCAAAGGAGATATGTTGCGATATACAGAAGTCTACGTATCGAGAAACACCTTCTAAAGGACGGCTAGGTTGATCATAAAGCACACAGCTTAGCTATGACGATCTCATCCGATCGGGTTATATCCTCCGGTAGGGCGTCGCGGATGAGGGACCGCCTTATCTTACTTATCTCTCTCGATTCATATCTTGAACCGGGATCAACAATTCAATCACAACCTGGCTGACGGGTTTAGAAGAACGAGCGTGCCAATGCTTCCCCATGGAATCTTACACATGCAACCTATCACTTGCATGTGTCTGCAATGCGACACTTCAATGCTGCTTATCTGATTTCAAGTGAACCCCCTCATTATTTTCTTGCTTTTTATTTTGTATGTTTCTGTCATACCGAGTACTTGATGTACGACGAAGAGTAAGAATCTGTCTTCGGAGCCTATCCGATACTGCAACAAGCCATTTACGCTTACACCCACCTTCGCTGAACCTTTTCGGACCGTTCCGATCGCCAAAATGAGCATATCGGAGAATACACCCGCCTTGGATGAGAAGAAACCAGAGCTTGGAGGTTTAGACGATGATACTGTTGCCGCCGTCGACCGAGGTGTCCAAGTCAATGCTGCTGGCTATCGAGATCAACTGAAACGCCAATATGGTCTTCTAGGAATTGTCGGCATTGCTCTTACAGTGGATAATGCCTGGGCAGCTCTAGGCTCGTCAATATCAGTTTCGATTCGTAAGCAACACCATATTCCCGGGGAACCATCATATCATGTCACAACATCGAATTAACTTATGTTTAATTACCTGCAGTCAATGGAGGGCCACCAGGCCTCATTTTCGGTCTCATCGTCGCAGTGTTTTGGTATTCCTTCATAGGCCTGAGCTTGGCTGAAGTATGTGAACTTTTTCATTTTTCCTTATTTATTATTCCAGATTTTCGGGTCGTTCCGAAAACTCAGACAATTTTTAACATACCTTCAGCTTGCTTCATCGGTTCCCACCGCCGGTGGCGTTTACCATTGGGCAACCATCGCAGCTGGTCCGAACTGGGGACGAACTGTCGGCTTCTTTACCGGATGGATCAACTTCTACGGCTGGATGTTTGATTTGGCGGCTCTAGTCCAGATCACGGCCAATATCCTTGTTCAGTTATATGCAACCTATCACCAAGACACCTATGTTCCGGATGCATGGCACGTTTACGTCACGTACGTTGGTGTCCTGTGGATTTCGACGATCTTTGTGATATTTGCCAACAAACTCGTTCCGTATACACAGAATTGTGGCATGTTCTTCGTTGTTGTCGGCGGCATAATAACTATCATTGTGATATCGGCGATGCAGCCGAATGCCCACGCTTCCAATCACTTTGTATGGGGCTCATTTGACGAAAATAATTGTCAGTATCCCCAAAGACCGTCTAACCATGTCTCCATAAAATGACCCGACTCGTTGACTAAGACGATATAGTGACGGGATGGCAAGGGGGTGTTGCGTTCATCCTGGGCGTGCTAAACGGCGCTTTCACGATTGGTACTCCTGATGCCATAACTCACATAGCGGAGGAGTTACCAAACCCGAGGAGAGATCTTCCGAAAGCTATCGGGTTTCAACTAGGGCTGGGGTTCCTGTATGCATTCGTTTTTGCTATCGCGCTAAGCTATGCTATTACAGACCTCTCAGCACTTCAAGGCGGCATTAATACGTACCCACTCGCCGTCATCTACCAACAAGCAACAGGAAGTCCAGGCGCAACGTTCGGCCTCTTGTTTATATTGTTTATTAGCAGTATGTGCTGCTGCGTAGGAACCGTCTTGACCAACTCGCGCACTTATTGGGCATTGGCTAGGGATAACGCCGTGCCATTCTCTGGTGTTTTCGGTCGAGTTCATGAGGGGCTAAGCTGTCCCATTTATGCGACTTTGTTCGTCTCGGTTATTGCTACGGGTCTCGGGGCAATCCCGCTTGGAAGCTCATCCGCGTTCCTGGCTCTTACGGGATCTTTCATCGTTTTGACGACAGTATCATATGCGATTCCGTTCACCGCAAACATGATAACTGGTCGAAAGTATTTTCCTCCAGGGCCTTTCCATATGGGGAAGTTTGGCTATACCATCAACCTCGTGGCGGTGTTGCTCATAACAATGTTCGACGTATTCTTCTGCTTCCGTAAGCTAACCCACAATTCCCATATAACTTACACTGACTTAATTGTGTAGCATATGAGATACCAACGACTGCTGAAGCTATGAACTATAACAGCGTAATTCTTGTTGGCACTCTTACCATTTCGGCATTCTGGTGGGTTGTGCATGCGACACGCCATTATCCAGGACCGAAGGTGATGAAGCTATACATCCACGATGATTCAGCTCCATTAAACAGCACTGGGATCATCGAGAAGGTGCCTACGTCTACCAATAACGGAAATAGCCCGACAGCAGCGCAATAGGACTCTGGTGGACGCAATCAACGTCAGAACGAAGCTCGATATCTATCTCAAACATGTTGCCGCTCAAGCAATACTTTACCATGGTATCGTCCAGCGGTCAATTTTCAGATATATATCCTATGATATAGAGGGATGCCACATATCAATTGAATTCAGACATTTAAATAACAAACCATCGCCAACAAATATTTACTTCTACAAATAGAACAGGCCTACAAAACAGGGTTGGAATTTATGCTCAAATTAGAAATTTCGGAGAGCGTTGCGCCGACTTCATCCCTTCCGAATCGGGTGAGCTCCCGTGAGCCTCTTCAATGCGTGAGGGACTGGCACCACTTGCTCCGCAGTACATCTCACATTATTAGCCCCTAGAAGTCTAGACCGTACCGAAGTACTACCCGCTATGTGCCTGGCTTTTTATAATTCCGTTCCTCACTTTACCGTGTGGGGAATCCACAGGGTGATACCGGGGGCTCCTCGATCTCTCGTTGCATTGCATCCGTAGAGGCGATCCTACTTCCAGGGCACCAAGATGATTGGAGGACTATAACTATATAATCGATAAAATCAAAACAGCCTTTCTCCAAATGTATGGATGGAGCACTATGATCCGCCTTGACCGAGGAGCTACCAACCTAGACTTCACCCGCGATGGTGGGACAGCCAAACATCGGCCAGACGGGCTACAGCCATTATATAAATATCTAGGTCTAGTCGATTACGTATCTAAAATATTTGGTTATAAGTAGTACCCAAGGTCTTCATAGTAAGTTCTCCGTGTGAAGGAGCTAACCTGGAACCCGTCCATCAACAATCAAAATGAAGTATCTCGGTGCAGGACTCCTCTCCCTCGCCGGCGCTGTCTCGGCCGAAGTACAATTATGGGCACAATGTGGCGGCCAAGGTTTCACGGGAGAGTCGGCTTGCCCTTCGGGCTCTAGCTGCCAACCTACAAACCAGTGGTACTCGCAATGCGTTCCCAGTACGTATGCGACAAAGACGCAGTAAAAAACACAGAATGCTAACAAAAACCAGTCCCCGAATCAAGCGCCGTCGCAACTAGCTCCAAAACCGCCGTGTCCCCCAAGGCTACCGGCTTCGCGAAGACAGACGGTCTACTATTCAATATCGACGGGGAGACCAAGTACTACGCAGGTACCAACAGCTACTGGATCAGCTTCCTAACGAACAATGCGGACGTGGATAAGACGCTAGACGAGTTGGTCAAGGCCGGCCACAAGATCCTGCGTGTCTGGGGTTTCAACGACGTCACTTCTCAACCCGGGTCCGGCACGGTGTACTTTCAATACCTATCCGCCCGCGGCTCGACTATCAATACCGGCGCGAATGGTCTGCAGCGCCTAGACTACGTGGTCTCAGCAGCGGAGAAGCGAGGTATTAAGTTAATCATCAACTTCGTGAATAACTGGGGTGATTACGGTGGTATAGCTGCTGTGAGTTCTCAATTTCGGATCGTTCCGAACCCCATCCACTAACCTCGAACCTCCGATCTACAGTACGTAACGGCCTTCGGCGGCAGCGCAAAGACATGGTACACCAACACCGCCGCGCAGACGCAATACAAAGCGTACATCAAAGCCGTCGTATCTCGCTACGCCAACTCGAGCGCCGTGTTTGCATGGGAACTCGCCAATGAGCCGCGCTGCAACGGCTGCGAGACCAGCGTGCTGACTAACTGGGCTAAGACGACGTCTGAATACGTTAAGAGCCTGGATCCGGATCATATGGTCACTTTGGGAGATGAGGGATTCGGACTCGCTGGAGATGGAAGCTATCCGTACCAGTTTGGTGAGGGCTTGGATTTCGCGGCGAATCTGAAGATTGAGACTCTGGATTTTGGAACTTTCCATTTGTACCCTAGTACTTGGGGTACTGAGTATGATTGGGGGAATGGTTGGATTGAGGCCCATGGAAAGGCTTGTGCTGCGGCGGGAAAGCCGTGTTTGTTTGAAGAATGTGAGTACTTAATCCCGTCCCTTGAACTTGAAAGTTATGCGAAAAGATGTCGTGAAGCTAATGAAGATATTTAGATGGATCCTCAACGGACCACTGTGGTATCGAAGGCAAATGGCAGAACACGTCGCTCTCTACTAAGGGTCTGGCTGCGGACTTGTTCTGGCAACTTGGAACTACGCTTAGCACGGGTCAAACACACAATGATGGGTTTACTATCTACACCGGCTCCTCGGAGTGGACGTGCCTGGTTACGAATCATGTTTCTGCTATCAAATCGGCGGGTAAGAAGTCATGATAGTCCTGTAAATACCTAGGTAGCATAAGATAAATTCCACCTATTGGGCGATTATTGTAATATACCTGATAGCAGTATATGCAATAGCAAGTCAATCCCAAGGTCGAGAGGGCTTGCAATTTTAAATGTGATCGTTATAATGTAGGTCTAGTTACTGAACGCTATTGTATACTCCGGATCCATACGTAAGTACCACCTCTAGAAGCCCAAGGGATATCATTAGGTGAACGCCGACCGCCAACCGCCAACTCTCGCGACCGAAAGACCCTTAAGCGCAACCAAACCAATGCTATCCATTCATTCCATCATTAATGAGCCCCAGAACCATTTACCGGATCACCATCCTTCTGTCCATTCGGTACTCTGGGCCGAAACCCCAACCTGCGCATGAATTTAAAAGTCGCCTTATTCTCCGTGCGGCGAACTTCTTCTTTCTGCTTCTCCTTCTCTAAAAACCTACGCTCCTTAGCTGCGCTCTGGCTAGTATCTAATTTTGCCTCTTCTACCTTCCGAGCTTCTTCGGGATCTAATAGTTTCTGTTTCTGATGCGTGATCTTCTGCACCACGTCCTTACTTTTCTTCTTCGTCTTGACGTATGCTTCTAGTCCGACTAGGACTGCATAGCTCTTGCTAATACTGACATGCGACATATCGACACCTTCGTCCTCTAAACTATGCACGAAGGCACGAAAGTTGGATGCTGGTGGGCGGTAGTGGCCTGATAGTGGGGATAGACTCGATAAACGACCGTTTTTGATCTTAATCAAACCAGCAGCGGAGATTCGTGATCCTTGTAAAAATGAACTGTGTTGGAATGCGCCGCTATTCTTGATGCCGACATATAGACGGAACGATGTGTCGGCGACGAAGATCCATGTATTCTTGCGAACAGTCTTTCGGAGGAGTTTGTTAAAGATGGTGGCGGCTGATACATGTCGGATCTTCTTAACACCCTTTGCATCATCGAGGTTGGGGTTCGCATACTTCGCCGCCATCGCAGCTTCTAACTCCGACTCCCGTGAGGATATCGAGGATAAATCCGAACCTGAGTGGTTGTGTGGTCGTGGAGGCGAGCTCACGCTAGCTTTGGCTTGTATATGTGTCTCGACATCGGGAGCGAATGCCGGTGTGGGATCGTCGGCCGGTACGACACCATGGATGCTGTCCTTCCAATTTTCCGTAGTATCGATCCGCATACTATTCTTCGCCCAGACTAGACGACCTTCCGAGTCGACTTTTACTAGATAATATTGCCTCTCCTCCCGGCTGAGATACCGGACTCGTTCGCGATCTAGCCGTTCCCTGGGACAAGTTGACAAATCTATTTGCTTGCCCTCTCCGTAGTCCAGCCAGTAAAAGAAGTTTTCGTTAGTATCGGATTTCTTCCATTCTTCATGGTACACCCTTAAATTCGATCCATAGCGATGTTTCAAATCACACATCTCGAGAAAGTATTGTAGCCCCATCATTCTTGCATGTTTTCTTCTTTTCGCTTGCGCCTTCATCTTTTTCCTCTTTGCCTTTGCCCTCTGTTCTGCGCTCATGTTCTGTAAGGTTTGCTCGTCGAGCGATGACGACGACGATAACGAACTACTATCCGAATGATCGGAGTCTTCGTCTCCACCAGCGCGTCGGGCTATTGTTGCGGCCTTCATCCAATTCCGGCGCGCTGCGGATCGACTGCTGCTTGGTCTCCTTTGGCTCCGCGCATCTATATCCTCCATGCTAAATGTACTAGCCTGTCGCGCTCGTGGTGTGTTTAGGTCTTTCCATTGCGCATCCCTGATCGCATGTGTCCATCTTGTACTTGCGTTTAAGCCTAATCCTTGCATCTCTCTTCGGACACGGTATCCACGGTAAGTCCGTTGTATTAGGGTTGCCGCTTTACATCTGAGGGAATCTTCCGCAGCATCCTCCCCTGTCGCATCTTTATTATTGGGTCTGGATTGTGACTTAATAAGCCCTATGATAGAATGCCGGCTTCCTAGTTGTTCATCCTCAGCAGCAGCCTTCGCTTCTACGAAATCCTCCTTTGCTTCCATGCTCTTGTGAGCGAGAGCCACGCTCCGGCGGCGCAATTCTTGGGTGCGATGTTTGCGTTCCTTTTCGCGCTGTTCCTGCAACTTCGCTAATCTTTGGAACTCTTCGTCGGACGGAGGTTTCAGAGAATCTAGATATTCTTCGTGGGTCTGATGGGACGTAATAGTGTCGGAAGAAGCTTTAGATTCCTTGGGCGGACCGGGAGAGGACGGTGGGGTTAGCGGGAGTGACCCCGGTCCTGGGGCGGGATGTTGCGGGCCCCGCGAAGGCGATAGGGTTGGAGATGGCGATCGTTTGCGTGTAGGCGAAGCTGTTAGCGGCGTATAGTTAGTAGGCTCAGTTTCGATCATGTTGCCACTTAAAAGAACTGCGAATGGGAATTAAGAAGGTTTATGATATAACGTGGACATGATGCTATAGGTGATTCTTGGGGTTAAAGTATTGCAATCGGGAATTATCTTGTCATAGGTTATCTAAGGTAGTATTTATGAGTTGGGTTCGAGTAGGTATATACAATGTAAGGAGAATTTAATTCGACTTGGATGCCTCGTCCGGCCTATAGCTTTGTTTAGAATGACGTAATTGTTCTAATACCGGTTAAACGGCATTGGTATGCTGAGGCCCTATAAGGTCTAGCATCAGTGGCGTTGAAAAGAATAACTGGACTTAGTAAGATATATTAAGAAGGTTGGAATAGATATAAGAAAGCCTTATAGTTAGAATCTAAGAAATTTAGTTATTTTACTGGTTATAATCAACAGTTACCCCTTTTATTTATGCCTCCTGAAAGTATAATTCTGGCTTCCACTTTCTTAAGATAGAGAGTTGTGTACCTGCTGCGTGAAAGAGTACTCATGCTTTTCGACAAGAAGTATTAGTAATGTCAAGTGTTTTTCTTTGACGAAACAACCAAAAGCAAGTGGCTTATGTAGAATTACATATGTATCCCTTACATTAAAAAGAAGTCATTGGGTTGTTAGATACTTGGACTAATATGACATCACCTCTATAAATGTGCGATAATAATGTATAGGCATAAGGAAAAAGATCAGCATTGTAAACTTCAAATGCAAATCTAAAAGGAGCTTATTATGTGAGGTATCTTAGGTAATTTGGTTGCAATTACCTAAGCTAACGGCACAGTGCAAACTATGGAACAATGACTCATGGACCCTGAAGTACTTTGTGGTTAGGGGAACTAAGACAGCGTTAAACAATCTTTTGGGAAAGTCTAACGCCAAAACACCACCTAAAACCCCTATAATAAGGGGGATGCCTTAGGGTACTTGGGGGTACACTATTAGGGGACTTTCGCGTGCAACTGCACCTGCAAATGTCTACTACGTGCTCCAGCGACCACCTACAATTCAATCAATCAATTGATGACAGCGACGCCTAGAAAAGTTTCCAAGGTTCCAAGTTGGTTTGGTAAGATTTAAAAAAAAATCTGAAGAAGAATCCTACCGACAAGGTATCAATGCGCATTTGGTAAATTACCATATCAATTTTTTGTTTTGTGCCACCAGCGATCGTCATGTCAATTCCCACCACCTCTGCCTCTACCTCGACTGATGGCCACTTCTACGCGACGAGTTGAAGCGCTTCAGCGCTCCCAAAACCACTACCAGCGACGCGCCCACCAGCATCAGCAACCAAACATCAATTCAACTTCCCCTGCAACAAGTCTTGACGTTAATAATCTGGCTGCTAAGCACGCTCATGTTATCGCGACGCAAATCAGGACGCGAAATTCCCAAAATATCTTACAACAATCCAGTCCGCCTCGAATGAAACGTCCTCTCGATCCTATTGCGAATAACTACGACACTCCTAAGAATAAAAGGGCAAGAATTACGGTCGAGATTCTAGCCAGACCCATTCCTCCTACTAGCCCTCCTAAATCAATTACCGTAAAGACACAGCCTCAACCTCATTCGCAACCGCAACCGCAACCGCAGACGCAATCTCAACAACCCCCTACGAACGAATCGATCGTCGCATCAACCAACACTTTACCCTCTGCTGCTCCTGCGCGACAGCAACTGCAATCCAACAAGACGGCGACAGTAGCAGAACCAGTTCTTAAAAAACACAAGGAAAAGGCGATCAATGGAATTAAACATGAATTGGACAGATTACAACCAAATGCAGCGGATACGAGTTCGGCAGCAGCAGAACGGCCCGGTCGCAAGTTGCGGTCACAGGAGGCGACTCGATTCAAGAGTGAGCTTTCGGCATATTTTCCCGATTATGACGAAGTAATCGGCAATGATCCTAAAGAACAACGTATGTTATAAATTTATAATTGATTGTAATTCCCGTGTTACCAACCATTTCGCATTTTCAATCATCCTGCCATCTTTTCTCATTGTATTCAATCGCTAACGATAAATCCTTTCAATTTAGATATTCTTAATCTTGATACCCCTATCGTATTTGTCGATACGAATCCCCTCCGTAATAATACCACTACTAAACTCCATCCCCATCAATCGCATCCTCCGATCTCCCCTCCACGAACAGCGCTAGACTCTACCCATTCGCCCCACTGCCACACAGTGCGAACATACGGCGATAATCTCTTCCTCGACTTACACGATTCACAACGAATTGATTTTAATTTCCTCGAACCGAAATACAATGGCAAAAAATTCGAGGATCCTCTTACAGATGCCTATTTTGAAGCTGCACATAAGAAAGCCGAAAGGCTAGAGAAGAATATACGAAATACGGAGAAAGGTCGCGCACAACATGAGAAGGATCAAATTATTCGATTGCTCAACGAGCTACAAGGCCATGACTGGCTAAGAATAATGGGTGTTAGCGGTGTCACGGAAAGCCGCAAGAAAACATTTGAACCTGCTCGAGATCACTTCATCAAGGGCTGCCAGGCGATCCTTGCTAAGTTCAGGATGTGGACCCAAGAAGAAAAGAGGCGAAAACTTATGAAAGAACGCGCCGCAGCAGAAGAAGCAGAGGAAAGCGAAGACAAGTCAAGCGAAGAGGAGGAGGACGAACAATTGAGCGAAGAAGAGGGCTCAGATGGGGACGTAGAGATGATTGATGCTGGCGCGGATGATGAAGGCGATGTCAGCGACGGCGACCCACCGGATTACAGTGATGTCGATCCATCTGCAAAACAACTTCTTGATGAGGCAATGGCGCGGGCGAAATACACGGCGACGGCCTCGAAGAAATCTCGCGGCGAACCCCCTCCAAAACACCAAGAACCACTCGTGGAGAAAGAATTCACTTCATTTTTTGCAAAGAAACACCAACGCGACGCAGCTTTGAGCAAAGGTCGACGAAGAGGTAGGACCGTCGTGGCCTGGGGTCATCATATCCCAGATATGCCGGAGTCCGACTTCGAGTTACCTGAGGAATACCGAGACATGGAGACCCTTAAGGCTCACGAGAGGCAAAAGAGAAGGGAGAGGCGACAACGACAACATTGAATTGACACATTTGGGTTGAAGACTATTAATTGTCTTTGCTTTTAAGACATGGACATTTGTCCGGCGTGGGTGCGGATTGGCGGCGCATCCAAATTATTAATACAGAATCGATGTGAACACAGTATATATGTCACTGGATTCATACATGCATGCGTAGCTACATATGTGGCGGACTTGAACAGGCGCATGTCTCGGTATGCTGCTGGAGGGTCTGTCCGCACAGATTGGAGTGTACTTTACACTGCTATGCTATGCGCACTATTACACGCCAAATGTATGTAGCTACATCGCGTCTAATCTTTAAATAAGACGAAATAAATAGCGTTGAATGATGTATATGAGTGACTCACCTTTATACACATAGGTAGTCAAAGCGAAATTCAACAAAAATAGTAAAATCCGAGGCCTTCTTGTGACTGATGAGTACTGTAATTTACAATTTGCCTTTTATCATAGCCTGGCTGCATAGTGGCTTGGAGTGGAGTGGGGATTTACCATCGGCTCGGTACCTTCTTGTACGCCACTAATCTATTTTAGGTGAGAATATTCGTTCGAACTTCTTAGGTACGTACCATCGAGTAGCTCGCTTATATAAGTATAAGATTGCTCCACTTTCTTGCATAGACCTGAACGCACAGACCACATAACATCTCAAGTTTTAGCAGCCCCAGATTTCTCAATCAAGTACCAACACCTCCAGGGCTCCTAGCTAAGTACATCATTTCTACAGCTCAACTGTGAGACGGCGCGCAAAGCTGTCGTCGTTGATCGTCACTTAATACATATTTCGATAAATAATTCCCGTCTCCATAGTTTTTGGTTCTTTGCTCTCTCAATAGAGCTAGGGACCTCTCTTTTTCCATAATAATAATCCGCCAGTCTTATTTCTACGCGTATTGGCGTTGCGTATTCGTTGGTTGCGCGCTCTTTCACCCGCGTGCGAGGCTATCTTTTATTCCACTACCATTATTTTCCACCGCAAATCTTCCGACGCCTTTCAACATCCTTCTACCGCCGAGTCACCTTGCGCAGGTTGTTTTCTACCCAAGACCATACTTCGCGCACCACCTTCGCATAAAGATATATTGTTTACGCACGGTTCACCGATGATTACGACCACTTGAAAGCACAGCGGCTTCGCAGACGCCCAAGATGCCGGGCACCGTAGAGCCAGAGGTCGCCATTGTTGACGAACCTCCTGCGCTCGAGGACCCCATTGACGATACCCCTCCTCGTCCCTACGTTGTATTTAATCAGAACGTCGATATCGAAATCGATTTCGCCCAGAAGCGCGTTCACGGTCGGTCCGATATCTTAATTGTGCCCACTGCCGATGTCTCCGAGGTCTACATCGATGCCCGTCAATGCGAAATTGACGTGGCACAAATCACCGTTAGTAACTGCGAAGTCCAGGCGACTTACCAAGATCCTTGCGAATGGATACAAACTCCTAAACACTACGAATGGTCGGCACCTCAATGGGGGATTAGGAAACACCGCATGGAGCCGTTGCTGCACCATCGACGTAAGGAAGTCTCGGCGCTGGATCACGATCTCAAATGCTGTACGCCACTTAACGGATCGATAAAGGTCAAGCTTCCTAGCAAAGACGAAGTACTACAAAAGAATCGGAATTCCCAAAAATCTGATCAACAAGATATTCTTTTACATCCCGACGGCACCATAGGTGGCTACAGAATCCGCATACCTTTCAAGCTTAGGAACGTCAACGATGGCTTCCAGTTTGTTGGCGTTGACGAAGCCGATACTAGATACCCTCATGTCTACACACGCCATTCTATCGAGCCTGGAACGGCATCCGCTATCTTTCCGTGTATCGACGATCCCGGTTCTCGAAATTCTTGGCGAATTTCTATCACTCTCCCCCGAACTCTCGGTGATGTCTTCCGTCAACCGACCCCCGCGCAGCAGCAGCAATCTAAGGGCTCCAATGGTGTTAATGGAATCCATAAGAGGAAACATAACGACGAGGAGCTTAGGCCAAAAGATGTACCGCTCGCGGAAGAAGATAAAATGTTGGATATGACAGTAGTATGCTCAGGAAATCTCACGGGCGAAGTGATCCACAAAGAAGACGAGACGAAAAAGACGATGACATTCGAGGTTGATCGTAATAAGGCCGCTAAGCATATTGGGTTCGCCGTGGGTCCTTTCGAACATGTCGACCTCTGGTCAGAATTTCGCACTGAGGAAGATGATATGAAACTCGGTGTATTCGCGGTTAAAGTACACGGGTATTGTCTGCCAGGTCGCGCCGACGAAGTCCGAAACACCTGCTGCACTCTCGCTACAGCGATAGACCATTTCTGCCTGACCTTTGGCCGCTATCCCTTTGAGAGCTACAAGGTTTGCTTCATTGACGACATGGTTGAGGATACCGTACCACTATGCGCGTTCTCTCTCTGCAGCAATAGACTTCTCCATCCCGAAGAAATTGTCGACACCGAAATCGAAATCATGCGAACCCTCATATACTCACTAGCGAGTCAGTGGTTCGGAGTCAACATAGTCCCCAACACGAAGGGAGATATTTGGCTTGTCGTCGGGATCGCATGGTTCCTCACCGACCATTTCATGAAGGCATTATGCGGCAACAACGAGTACCGATTCCGAATGAAAGAAATGGCAGATAAAATCGTCCAGCTTGATGCAAAGCGTCCATCCTTGCAAGATCTTGGCGAACATCTTCACTTAGGCAGCTTTGAAGTCGAATACATGAATCTCAAGGCGCCGGTGGTGTTATTCATCCTCGATCGCCGGCTATCTAAATCCTCTAGCTCTACCGGAATTTCCAAAATCATATCCCGAATGGTTAGCAAAGCCAATACCTCTGGCCAAGCTGCTGATGAGGTCCTTGGATCGGACGCTTTCCGTCGGGCTTGTGAAAAGGCTGGAGGAACAAAGTTAGAGCCCTTCTGGAACCAGTGGGTGACTGCATCGGGATGTCCATATTTTGACGTCCATCAACGTTTCAATCGGAAACGCTTGTGTGTGGAAATGACGATTCGTCAGGTCCAAGATAACGTCGATCGGACTAGGCCTCTCGACAAATACGAATTTTGGAGAGACGTGCTGGAAGAAAACCACGCAGTCTACGCTAGCGAGTTACAACAAGCATTTACGGGACCGATGACGATCCGAATTCACGAGGCTGATGGCACACCTTACGAGCATATAGTAGAGATTCGTGAGGAGAATGCGCATCATGTCAAATTTGAAATACCCTATAACACGAAGTATAAGCGACTTAAGAAGACTCGCCGCAATCGTGAGAGGGCACTAGCAAGAGGTGATACCGACAATCACAGGCTTCTCTACTTTTTGGGAGATGTCATGCAGCAGCCCGAAGAGATCGAAGAATGGGATTTCCGAGATTGGGATGAAGAGACTGAAAAGGCTATGGACCTAGAGTCATTCGAATGGGTTCGCATGGATGCCGACTTTGAGTGGATCTGCGATATGCAGACGAATCTTCCAGCATATATGTACGCGTCGCAACTACAGCAAGATAGGGATGTGGTTGCGCAGCAAGATACAATGCTGTTCCTCCGACGAAATTTCGTCAAGTCAGGCCCTCACCCTCTCGTTTCGACTATACTCACCCGTACCGTGTTGGATACAAATTACTATTATGGTATTCGCCTCTTGGCTGCCGACGAACTTCCTAACCATGCGGTGAAAGACCCAGTGGAATGGATCGGACTCCGACACTTACTCAAGATATTCAAATACTTCTTCTGTCAACCGGGGACTTACTCACCCCTCCCGAATGACTTCTCGGATAAGCGTCAATATTTTCTTCAGCGCAGTATCCCAATGGCTGTAGCTCGCGTCCGTGGTGAAGACGGCAGATGTCCCAAGGAGGGGCGCGTGTTCATTCTTGAGCAACTGCAGAGCAATGACAACACAGATAACATATACTCGGACCAACCTTATATTTGCGAGTTGATCAAAGCTCTAGCTTTATCCCAAATCCCGGACGAAAAGAAAGTCAAGCAGCAAAAGTCCATCTCTTTTAACTTTGGGGACGCTGACGAAGACGAAGTGATGGCCGAAGCCGTCGACATGGAACCCGAGGAGTTTCGCGATATGGCAATTGAGGAGATCGAGCGATACCGTAGAATGGATGAGTACTCTCCTTCATTCCAGAACTGCTTCACCATAGCAGCACTTGATGCCTTCTGCCGTCTCATGAAGGCTAAAGTTATACCGAATGATCCCATTATGTTCATTCAATACCTACAAGATAGGACTTACGATCTTGTCCGTATAAAGGCTTGCGAGTGCTTGGTAGAACTAGGAATGCTAACAAACCCGAAATTCCTACGTTTTTACTTCATTCTAGCCAGTACGGACTCTTCACCATTTGTCCGAGACAAACTATTTAAAGCGCTATGTCGTGGCTTTGCCAGCATGGCCATCGGAGAGGACGAAGAACCAGAGAAACAGGCACCAGCAGAGTCAAATGGTGACGAACTTATCGTTGAAAAGGATGACACGGTTCTCGAGGAGAGGAAGAAGGCAAAAGCGCGCAAAAACAGCCTCCCTGCAGCCCTCGCGGCGCTAAAAGAGAAGACTACAGATGACGAAGATTTGCACGAGGCTCTTTGGAGCGCTATGAACTCGCCCGTCTTGACTGTGTCCGAGCGGATCAATGTCCTCGAACTTTGCTCAATTCTAGTCGACGAAGACCATTCACTAATAGTGAACTTTAAATATCCCACGTACTGGACCGTCGAGCGTGGTGAGAAGGGTCGACATAAATGTCTTATAACATTCAAACGACACTACAGGACGAAACCACGCAAGCCTTATGCTGTACAACCACCACCACTGCCGGTTAAACAGGAGCCTACACGAAAGATTACTCTAAATCTAAACCGCAATATGAGCACCAGCTCGAAGGCCGCAACACCTTTAGCCACTCAAGCTCCTCCATTACCGATTGTCGTTCCTACACAACCAAAGACCACAGAGACTAACAATACACCTAAGCCAACACCTAAAACGACTCTGCCATCCCTGAAACAGATGTCTGCACCAAAGGAGAAAGCCAAGGAGAAACCAAAGGAGAAGCCACCGAAAGAAAGATCAGCTCTTCCTTCTATCAAACTTCCAGTCCCACAGGAGGTTAAAGAAAAGCCCATCCTAAAGCAGGCGAAACAGTCAGCCGCCACCAATTCGACGTCCCGAGCAGGTACGCCCTCAGCTTCTCAAGAAAAGCCCAAGGTTCCTAAAGCAGCTACACCTCAGAGAGATAGCATCGCTGTGCAGCCGCTTGTGAGACCTACTATTGAACTTCAGCAGCAACCCGAATCTAAGGCAGGAACTTCCAAACCCAATGGGAATGGCCTTCTAGCACCGGCGAAATCTTCGAGGCCGCTTAAGAGAGCAAGTACCGATAGTGACGGCCCACGACCGACTAAGATTGTCAAACTCAATACCTCAAAGATCCCTAGAAAGGACTTAGAGAGGGTTGGCAAGAAACCGAAGTCCAAGAAATTGGTTACGTTGAAGTTTAAGGGTTGGGACAAGATACACAAGAGAAAGCACGAAACATCTCAAGCTGCATCGATTCGGGCTACGCCTAAACACCGAAAATATGAGGACAAGGACAAGTCCAAAGGCCGTAGCCCACGTCCGTCTGTCAACCCAGGTACACCCACGACTAAGCATTCGGAGTCCGCTCCAGCTGCGTCATCTTCAAATATTCCACGTTCATCGTCTCACAAGGCCGCCACCCCCACTGCCTCTTCTCAACCCCCTCCTCAATCGTCACAGCCGATCTCGGGCAGCAGTGGAAAGCCGAGAAAGCCCCTGCCGGATATGCGCAAGCCGCTTCCGTCAGCAGCACCGACTAGCAACCCCACACCATTGGCAAAGCAGCATCAAGCACCACCACCCGCGTCCTCTCCTACCACCACGGCGCCAAAGGCTCCAACCAAATTAAAGATCAAGCTAAAGCCTTCCGCAGGGTCGTCGAACTAGGGTATGAAGACCAGGCGGACACTATACGAAGATAGAGATTTGCTATGATGACGAAAACAGCTCTACTTTTTTCCCCACATTGCGCTCACGTTTTGACCTGTCGAGAATGATTTTTGTTGTTTGAGTATACGGCAGATGGGGCGCAGCACAATATACCACAAGTGCCCTTCATCCACGCGAAAAATGGTTTATATGATACCACACGCGCATTTCTTCGAGGATTCCCCTCCTCGAAATTTCACTTTTCTCTATTTCACTTTTTGCATGGCATGGCACGGCGTTAGGAAAAAATTCGGGAAAGGGGAATGGAAAGGAAATGGAGGGAATCGGAGGATATGATATGATTGATCCCCCAGGCCAAAAATGCATTACTTCTGCGGTTTTTTCCTCCTTTTGATTTTCTTTCACGCCTTTTTATTTTGTTTTCGCGGAGGCCGAATGATTTCAAATTACTTGCGTTGAGGCATTGCTCTAGCAGTGGACGAAGTATTGCGCTGCGTCTGCGTTGAGTTACGTTATGCACCTGCTCCCGTCCCATGCATCGGCTTCGGTCATGAGCCGACAAGAAAGCAGGCGAGGGCGAAAGAGAAGGAAGAATGAGAGCAAGGGACGGAATAGGGGAGGTTTGTCAATGGACTGGTTAATCGGGGGAGGCGCGCTTGTGTATAGTATTAGTGAAGCCTCAGAACTGGCGTTAATCACTTGCAAATAACTTAAGTCTTCAATGCTCTTTCAAAATGTGATAATGGAAAGGATATTGTTGCATTGTATCTTGTGTGTATCCTGTGATATGGGACAAGCTAATCTCTAGCACCCGAACATCTTCAAAATAGCCAAGCTCAGGATGAAGTTTACAGGAACTTGAATCTAATCCAATTTTCCTTTCCTTTCCAAGTTCCGGTCCTATCCTCGGTTTCTTTTCTAACCTAGACGCTTATGCCAACCCGTGTTTTCAGCTTTACTAGTAGTATTCTGAATCCGTTGGAAGCAGCTTCGGTTGTGGCGTCTGTTATGAGTAGGTAGCGCTGGAAGGACGAGAGATAGCCTGCCATTGTTGTGTCCCAGAGCACCATAAACATCCTCTGACCTCTGCCATTAGCTTAACAATCAGCCACCCAGACTCACCCCCAATCACGCTAACAAACAAAATCACACAGCAGACCCCAGCGCCCCTAAATATCCGAAAGTATCATTTCCTAGTCTCCACCGCCCAGCCAACCAGATAGATTCTTCGCCTACATTAAATCAACCTGCAATGCAATAGGCAGCCTACCTACTTTGTAGGTAGACGCTTGACTTATAAGCAGTGAAGAAGTCGCTTCTGGTACGATTGCAAAGAAGAGCCATTATGCAGCCCCGTCAGAGCGGGACGCTGGTGTTCAGTGCGGTTGTACGATAGTAAGCTTGTAAGGCGGAAGAAATCATATCTTGATCTGAGGGTTTCGCTGTACTTTGATATTGGGATTAGAGGCGCATGGGGGGAGCTACATTTTTGAAATGTTAGGTGGGGAGAAGTGACTGAGTGCTGTTGTGGTGAAGAGTGAGGGCTGAAAACTTCGTGGTTGGACTTCCATCTTAGATCTTTGCTATGGGATCAAGTATTAGCAATCGAGTCCACCTAGAGAGAACATTTTGAAATAACCAGGAACAAAAACACTTACTACTATTGATATACTCAGCATAGCCAACGCATTCTTGTATCCTGATTGACTATTGACAATAACCGACGAGATATCCTTGTATCTTAATTTGGTTTGCTCGATATCGTCGTAAGTAGCTTCGCTTCTTAGCATTACCGTCTTCTCGACCCCGCGGCTTGTCCCGTCCCTGACCCCGTATTTGGCCCCGCAATGCCTATTCTTTCCTCTCTACTTCTTGTCATCATACGCGGAGCAACAGAAGGTTCGGTGCTCCCCTGTCGGCTCGCGCCGGCGCGTGTCGTAGTACCTGCACCTGCTATTCTCGTCGCAGGGGGTTGTTGGGTTGCTCCTGTAATACGCTGCATTCGAGTTGGGGGAGCCGCCGCAGTAGTGGTAGAATTAGCACCGCCGGGTTGGTTTCTTGCTGCTCGTAATTGTTGGAGGTATGCGGCGCGTGCTTGACCGGGTGATGTTTCGCGTCCACGGATCTGTTCACGGGCAGCGCGGCGAGGCTCTGTTATGAATGAATCGCTTGCATCATCGCCTTCTTCGACGTCGACATCCCGCATGTCTTCATCATCGGCAGCTTGTGGTGGGGATGGGGTAGGCGATGATGAGGACGTGTCCATTGCTGTTGGTTGTGGTTGATGCGACGGCGCCCGGGAGTTGTGACGAGAATGTGCTTGAGCCTGTGCGGCGACAGCAGCGAAGCGACCGTCCTCGTAGGCTGCGACGTCTTCGGCGGTGAGGGTGAGGGTTGTCGGTGGACGGCGGAGCATTGTGATTTTTATTTTTTCGCCTAGCAATTGTTCATATTTAGTGTGCCGTCTCCCTCTGGCTGAACATAAAGAATGGCGATTACCTACTGTAATATGCAATGCTTCGGTAGTTAGAGAGCGTAAGTGAACGGCGGAAGAGATGCTGCTGGAGGGAAATAATCAAGGTCGCCGTTCGGAACAATTGGTGAAAGGAATTGAGCGTATGGATATTAATAGAAGTACTCTTCAAGAAATAACTATTAATACAACTCTTCCTGAAAAAAGAACTGTAGACGCCGAATATTTATTTTGGGTGTGTGGGAAGAAAGAAGACAAAAATGTTGTAGCTGATGAAGAATGAAAACAAAAGCATTATCTTTGCGCCGTAAGTTCGTTTATTGGAGGGGTGGAGGGGCCACCTGCGGGGTTCGGATTTAGTGGTGGGGGGCTAGATACAGTGGGTAGGTAGGTACCTACGCCGGCCGGTTCAGCCCTATCAGTGGATACAATAGTACTTCCTACGTCAAACAGCTGGAGAACTGTCTTCACCTTTCCCCTACAACCCCCCTTCTTGTTTGTTTCCCACGGTTGGAAGTCACGAAAGTTCGCTCTCTATCTCCTTAGTAATCAACACCTTCCTTCCAGCTCTCATCCCACCTACCTTGCCTAGACACATTGCAGTAGCGAAAATCTAAAAGGAAATCCAAACTGTTCGGATGACCAATGCTATCATAGCGGCTTACTTAATTAACTCGACCATGATACTAGATTTGAGTGTATGAGAGAGACGGTGCTACCAAAACTAGAGTGTAAAAGAAGGAGCTCCAAACGAATAGGTTTGTATTATATCTCATGCTCTAACTTAATATTCTTCGAAAAGAGGAGAAACAGGATAAAGGAAAGAACAGCAAGTAACCTAGCATCGCTAAAGTCATGCCAACCGCCAACGGGTACATGTAGTATGATACTGACAACAGGCAAGTCCTGATCCAACAAACCCCCACCCCTCTTTTCGCCTTCTACCAGTTTCAGATTCCTTCGCTTAACCAACGAGTAGGAAATGGTTCTAGGTGAGAAAAGAACAAGATTCGTCCGATCCGTCGCCTTGAAATACTGCCAAATGGAGTAAGTGTTACAATTATGTAACTATAGAGTTTACTTATGTCTCTTATATAGTAATGTCGCGCCATACGCGCAGTATTATGAGACCTTTTTTCAAGCTTAATCTAAGCGGTAGGAACGTTGGTGTTTTAACTTTAACCAAGAGGGCGTGTTTAAAAGAGAAATTTCCTTTCTCCATCTGTCTCTCTGCTATAAATCTAACAACTTACAACTACCAACTGCTGGCTTACATATACCTACCTACCTACCTAAGTACCTACTATATAGCATCAAGCTAATACATATAGTTATTGTTTTTCAAAAGGGAGATACATTAAACCCTTTCCCATGTGGTTATCTTTTCTATTCCCATTATTTGCGGCATTATGGCCGCTCAATATGACCAAGACGAATCTTATGCGTCTCATCAATACATAATGGCAACAGAGCTCAATTTGATGCCACATGAGGTTATCCTTAGGCGTACCCTTACTCCTAACTCTATTATTTCGATAAAATCTTCCTTCGCTCGTCGCTTTCACCATGCAGTAGCCCATCCAGAACTTCAAGTCGTCGTAGAAATCGGTAAAGGCCTCCAAGGTAGTGTGTTCGAACAACTTGGACACGCCCTAGCAATGAAGAAAGAACGACGAGGAAACGAGCGGCTTCGAACAAGTTTAAAAAAGGAATATTCGTTACACAGTGCCGTCCTGGAAGCCTTTGGTCTATATGGGGAGATGGTCGAGAGTACTGTCCGAGTCCCACGTCTATTCTCCATCGTTAATCGCACAAACGATGATTTCTGGGGAGAATACCTACCTAAGTTGCCCGAGGATTGTCGTACTCGAGGCACCCTGGTTCAAATGGAACGCATACTCCCGTTGCCAAAAATCGTTCGGGAATCGCTGATCAACTACTTCTATCCTCGTGAAGACGCCTCAGCTCTGGACCCAAGTGTAGTACAGCATATTCTCGATAGCACGCCAAACAAGCACTGCCTCGCCAGGACATACCTCGGAAGAGATGATGGGGTATTTACGAGGGAGAAGTTTTCTCTTAGGAATTTCCCTCTTTACTTGAAGTCTATGGAACGCCTGGGCCTGGACACCCCAAACATAGCAGCCTCAATGGGGAAGGCATATGCTCTTATGCATTGGGGCGCTGGTGTTAACGGCGATCACGTCGAATTTGTCCTTGGCACGTCGGCAGTGAGAGGTCCTAAGGGACCTCCCGGGACTCCTGGGACACAACATCGAGCCGTAGGGCTATACCTAATCGATTTTGGGCAATGTGAGTCGGTAGACCTATCCGAGGAGCCCGAGGAGGTCTACCAGGCTCTCAAGGTTGCAATGGTAACTGGCGACAGTCAACTATTCATCCCACACTATCGAAAAAGTCCTGAATTGTATTCTGTTTTCAAGGAAGCATATATCGATGCGGGCAGGTTAATTCTGGTGGAGAAGGGTTTGGATTCTAATTTCAACGTGGACGAATTTATGATTGAGTATGAGGATTATACAGAAGACTTCTTATGATACCTAGTACCCTTCTTTGGTATTAATTAAGGGCTCGTGTTATGATGGTAATAGGGAATGTTGTTGTTATTGGAACCCTGTATATACCTCGCGACGGCGGCAACAAGCATAGGAGCAGAGCAGAAGAGATAGGTTTGGCACAACCACAACCGCCGCAGCCACGACCGCCACAATCATGGCGACGACAGTAGCCGCTGCGAAACATGCGGTACATTGGCCAATAACACCAACCACCAACACCAACACCAAAGCAACAAAGCTCGCGGGTTGTTGTTCAGGGGTAATAAGACGTACGGTCGTTGAAGAGGGTATGGTTGGTATAGATACACCTATAGGAGAGCATAACCAACAGCAAGCTAGAGATTCAATAGGACTATGCAGTGAGAATATGAATGATAAGAAGAAACATATATATTCATTACAACTTGAGGATATCCTGGAAATATTTGTAGAGTCATGAAATAGAAGTAGGTATTCAGTTAAACAGATACCCCCATAATCAGACTTTGATTCATTTACCGGGTACTCTAAATCGTGGTAAAGCATATAAGCGACAAAGGAGATTAATATATGCGCTTAATCACTATCGGTGATAATCTTTGTAGATCCACTAAATTTTTCCTTATCCTTCAACTTTCAACATAACAAAACTCCAGTATAATTCTAATCGACTCTAATTCAGAAATATAATATGTATTCTTGAAACATTAATTAAACATTTAAAGGTCAATCCGGCACAGCATATACATATACGACCGACAAATCACTCCTCCCACCTCCGGCGATGAACGCGCACGCCCTCCTGACAGCCCAGGGCTGGCGGGGCTCCGGGCATACGCTTCACCCTACGAGCGACGATACGGGACTCGCGCACCATATCCTAATCAAGAGACACGACGAGGGACGAGGGTTGGGTAGTAAGAAGAATGAGCACAAAATCGACGCGTGGTGGTTGAACGCCTTCGATCAAGCGCTTAAGGGCATCGATACTAAGTCTGGTACCATGAAGCAGACGTTAAAAGGCGGTGCTCTCGAGAAAATCACTGCGAAAGGCGCGGCTAGCAAATATACGGGGACTCGAGGTTTATACTCGTCGTTTGTTAAGGGTGGGGTTATGGAAGGCACGGTGGGTGCGGTTACCGGACTTTTGACGCCTCCTGTTAGTGGTGTGGGGACGCCGGTTGCTTCTGCTGCAGGGGATGAGAAGGATGATAAGAAGGAGACGAAGGGGGAAAGGAAGGCTAGACGGGAAGAGAAGAGACGACGGAAAGCGGAGAAACTTGTGAAGAAGGAGGCGGAGGAACGGGCTGCGAAAAAGGTCGAGAAGAAGAAGGTGAAGAAAGCTGAGCGGGAACGAATTAAGGCTGGGGAGACGAAGGAAGAACGTCGCGCTAGGAGAGATGCGAGGAGGAAGCGGAAAGAAGAGAAGAGAAAGCTGAAGGCGTCTGGTGGATGAACAGGCTTTTCTAGGGATGCGCTACAAGAGATCTACAGAAGATTTGCTCGAGGACGCTTCGCCTTGGGGAGATACGAGAGGGCATGGCTAGATGCGTCGCAAGTTCTATGAGTGGGCATATATGCTTGCGTTCGATAAGATGCTAGTACTGGCAATCTGCTTAACGCATCTCATACGACTGAGGACCCTGTTGTGGTCTATACCGCCTATGTCATTCTCTCACATAAACTATTATACCGACGAGAGCGGTTATGACGATGGCAGTCGTAAGAGCAGCTATTTCGCCATAAGACAAACCGTTGTAAACTTGTTCGTCTGCGGCGTCTTCTCTAAGCTTCAGTCGTTCGGTTCCCATTGTGGCTTCAGTGGTGTCAGGTATGGGTGCTTCAGGGGTCCGTTAGGGGTCGGATATATCCGGTTGACTACGGCACGAGAGATACGCGACTAAAGATAGCTCCTCATAAGAAGAGAAAATAATTCAAGACACTAAACTTTCATTACGTCTCCTTGGGGGTTTTTCCTGGTTTGTTGGATAGCAACCAAGGTCTTCTCTCCCAAAAGTCATCTTTTATAATATCTAGATGATCGACTAACACCCTAGCTTTCGCACGCCGTTTTCTGTCGCCCTCTTCTTGTGTCTTCGATTGCTTGGCAGGCTCTGCCAGCTCATCGGCTGCCTTTGCTACATCGTGACTACCAGGTTCGACGAGTTCGTACTAGTTATCGTCAGCATGTAATTATAACTGATGATTCAGGTGGTAAAACTGACATCTCGATATATTACGCTTCCCTTTTTGAAAATCTCTGGTTCATTATTATAATTAATTTTGAACTTTGAGAACAGGATTTCGTTCTTGTCGGCAGAAAGGGTTCCCTAGATACTAGTTAGACCGTACCTAGGTATTATCAAGAAGTAAAATATAACGCACCGATAGAAATTTCTCAGCAGACTTCGCATCCATCCCCCCTGATTGGACCAGCGACCAGAAAGTAGTGTTGTATAAGTTGTTGATGTGGCCTATACAGTTAGCCAGTTAGCACTCATGAACCGGTATGATACATATGAAAATTACATACAGTCTACCTGGCGCCAACTCATATAATCACGTAAGTTCTGTACGCTGGGGTAGCAAACGGCTCGGCCATCAAAGCTAGGAAGCGGTGGTGATAGTGGCGTATCTGGGAAATAGGTCGACCACAGATGGATATAATATGCGGTAAATGTTGAGACGATTGTCGAGGTTATCTTGCTATACACTCCCATATAAGATGCTTGTAGATATTATAGTATCGCGAGTGGCTCACCTAGCCCTCCTTTCAAAAAGGGTGCAAGTCTTGTGAAAAACGAAGCTGAAAACACTCAGTACGAGGTTCTACTGTTTAGTAGAGTTTAGGGGATGTTGTACCTAAACTCATCACTAACGCCGTATGCGATAGTGATATCGTGGAGTTCAGCCACCACCGCTTTAGCGGCAGCGTTCATTAGGTCAAGAGCTCTACGGTCATTGGGTTTCTCGAAATTGTACTTGGCGCATAGTCTACCACAACAAAACAAATCAGAATAGAACTATGAAACGAATTTGAATATCTGGGAAGTATTACTTTGTGAACCCTCTGCCGTCTATTCGCACCACGATCCAAGTATTTGGTAGTAAATTATCGACTTGCTCGAATTGTTTCACATATTCAAATCTAAGATTGTAAGTGTTAGATACATTATATCTAGAAACCTATTCGAAGGGGATATCCTGCCTTGAATTGGCCATCTTCAAAGAATTTCTCTTTGAGACAATATAAACTCTCGAATTTTGATTTGAAAAGGATATGAAACCACGTTTATTTGCAGTGGATGAAAAAAATAGCTTGAAGTTGTATCAAGATGAGTTATACTCAACTTTATTAGGTACTAAGATAGGTACAAAGCCTAGCCGCTAGGGTGTGTTTACAGTGGGGGATCAGCGGGGACTCCCTGCACAGATCCCTGCAGATTTACCTGGATGAGCTGCAAGGCTACACAGATACTTTTTAACTGCCGCGAGCTTCAGAGCAACTACGATCGGAATTGACGGTCACAAATAAATTATTATTTCCGAGTTTACTCTAAAGAGTGCATGTGACTTCCTCAGCATACTATAAACGCGTCGCAATCGCGATTATACCCCTTCCCGAGTCACTGAACACGAACGCGCCAAAATGAATTTGCTACTGTCCGACGATTACCTACTCCAAGACTATCCCGAGAATATCACCAACACCATCCGATCCGGTCATACAACATGTCTTCGATTCAATCGCAAAGGCGATTGCCTAGCTTCGGGTCGCGTCGATGGCACAGTAGTAGTTTGGGATCTCGAGACCATGGGTGTGGCGCGGAAGTTAAGAGGCCATAGAGCGGCCATAACTTCACTTAGTTGGTCTAGATGTGGTCGCTACTTGCTCTCCGCCTGTCAAGGCTGGAGAGCTGTTCTGTGGGATCTACAGGATGGTACTAGGTATCGAGAGGTGCGCTTTCGCGCGCCTATCTATACAGCGGATTTACATCCATGGAATCAGTGAGTTTTTCCTGGGAATTATAGCCTGGCTTCTAGCGTGTGCTGACCGCAATATCAATATAGCAACTTATTCGTAGCTTCCATATTCGACGAAGCCCCATCGCTTGTCGACATGACCGGTTCGAGCGACGCCAAACACACACTTCCTTCCGCGCCGAAACGGACGAATACCGATGCCGATGCTGCAACGAAGGAAAAACAAGCGAAAGAGGACGCAAAACAAATGACCACGGCGACGGTTTGGACAGCAGCGGGAGATCACATACTTGCAGGCACAAACAAAGGTCGCTTCAACATCATAGATGCCAACACACGCGGAATAATATGGTCAGAGAAGATATGTAGTTCTGTTGTGACTACGCTACGATTGACGGGTTCTGGGCGTGAGTTGCTAGTTAATTCCCAGGACCGCATCATTAGAACCTTCCACCTACCGAACCTCTCCGCGGAGGACCTCGATCCCGATACGATACAGATGCCACTAGAACACAAGTTCCAAGATGTCGTCAATAGGCTTTCATGGAATCACGTCACCTTTAGCGCGACCGGAGAATACGTGGCAGCGTCTACGTATAACAATCACGAATTATATATATGGGAACGAAATCACGGAAGTTTGGTTCGAATGCTGGAGGGACCTAAAGAGGAACAGGGCGTCATCGAATGGCATCCCCACAGAGCTGTACTAGCCGCGTGTGGACTCGAAACCGGTCGTATTTACATTTGGTCGGTTACTACGCCACAGCGGTGGTCAGCATTGGCACCGGACTTCGTGGAGGTAGAGGAAAATGTGGAGTATATCGAAAGAGAGGACGAATTTGATATTCACCCGCAGGAAGAGATTAATAAGCGAAGGTTGGATCAAGAGGATGAGGATATTGATGTCTTGACTCTGGATCTGAGCAAAGGGTACGATGAGGAAATTGATGGCGCAGGATTTCGGATGCCGGTACTGTTCAACCTTGGCGAGAGTGATAGTGAGGAAGAATTTGTGGCAGTATCGACGGGTACTGTGCGCCGTCGGAGTTTAGGGGAGGCACAGGAGGGCGAGGTTCCCGACGAGGAAAAGACCGCTGGAACTAAGAAAACAGTCCCTGCGAAGGGCACGAGGGGTAGGAAGAAATAAGTGCGATAGTCTAATATCAAAAAGAAATCTTGAGAGTATCATCCGTGGCGTCTGATTTAGTGAGGTTTCTATGCGCCCAGGGGCCTTAAGCACTGTTTTAGGGGATATATGACGTTTAGGTAGATCGGTAGGTACCACCTACCCAGATACAGTGCACAATGTCCCCGAGTTTATCCCCATGATGTAAGTAACACCCACTGTATTTAAAGTGCAGATCAATTTGGCCGATAAGCACTATGATGCACCTCTAAATTCTGTTTGTGTGGCTCGCACTATCTGGCTGTCTGGGTATGGGGAAATAATGTGCTCACTGCTGTGCTCACACACTGTAAAAACTTAGAAGGTGCGCATTGGCCGTTTGTATGCACCGTGCTTGACTCACTGATCGGATAGGCCTGTACATGTGTACATATACCCAGGTATCTTCGGAAAAAACTAAATAGCTATGGGACATTCTACTTCTACCTTTTCATCCCATTCTGACATGAAAAGGAATTCTTTCACCATAACTTTCTATTTCTAAGTTCTGCATACATATATCTTTGCATCTCAAACGAGAAGCCTCGACATTCCTTTGTATGAGGGAACAAGATCTATACATCAAAGGTACGTACGTGAGTACATATTTTTAAGAGACCCACCATTGTGACTCGGTCAGCCGCACGGAGAAACTTACTTCCTTTTATTTTTTAGTATCGTACCGAAAACGGACTAGTGCATTGCCGTGGCGGTTCTGCCTCATTTTCCTTAGTCTTTAGTTTCCTCAACTCCTTCCCAGGAAAGGTCTTTCTCCCAATCCACAACAACAATCTTACCGTCGACCGAACATCACGACGCGCCTCGGGTATCGCATCGAGTTGACTCCCGCGACATCTCGACATTGCCTTTCACATCCGAATAGTGATTTTTCGATCGGCGCGATTCTTCAATCGACGTGCGCGCGCCTTGGCACGGTCCCAATCATCTTACTCGGGCCTTTGGCCTGGTTGGCAACGGGCCCTCCAGCGTCATCCTTAATGCCAATATCGACGGCAATTTCCATCATTCTCTGCGCGGTCGGTCGTGTATAACACTTTTTTTTCTATTATTTCATTTCGACCGACATCGTCCGCTCTCTGTTTTACGATTCACGAATCAACGAATTCTTTCGCGCCTCACCTATTTTTTTCGCGTCACCCTCACTCCGACTTTTCACTTCTTTCTACCTCGCGAATCAATCGAGGTATCATCATAATCACGCAAACCATCGGAATACTTGCTATTTCACCAATTTAATTAACTTAGTCTAGCTTCTGGCTAGCAAATCAATCAAGATGGCGAATCTTCAGTTCGAGCACTCGGATGCGCCGCTCAAGACGATCCAAGAGGTTCGTTTTAGCATCTTGAGCCCCGAGGAAATCAAGGCCGCGAGTGTCGCGCAAATTCAATACCCAGAAACTATGGATGAGAACCGAACCAAGCCGCGCGAGGGAGGTCTTAACGACCCTCGTCTTGGCTCCCTCGACCGCCAATTCAAGTGTGCTACTTGTTTGCAACCTATGTCTACCTGCCCTGGCCATTTCGGTCATCACGAATTGGCAGTGCCTGTTTTCCATCCAGGCTTCATCAAGAAAACGAAGAAGATCCTGGAATGCGTCTGTGAGAACTGCAGCAAGGTTAAGGAAGACAGAGTCAGTACCATTCTAGCTCTTAATTCTTGACTAACCTGGATCTTGTTGATGCTGACCAAATATAGAGTAATCCTGAGTTTGCTGCAGCAATGAATATTCGAGATCCGAAAAAGCGTTTCCAGGCGGTCTGGTCCATTTGCCGAGACAAGAAAGTGTGCAGTAACGAGGTACCGAAAGACGAGGACAAGGAGTACGAGCCAGGTAGCAAACCGAAAGCCGTCGGCCATGGTGGATGTGGTAACATTCAACCTATCGTTCGCCAGACTGCCCTCCAACTTTGGGGCAATTACAAGCAAGTCAACGAGGACGGTGTTAAAACCACTACTAAGAAGGAGCTTACTCCAGCTCACTGTCTTGATATCCTCAAGAAAATCTCCGACGAGGATTGTATCGACTTGGGTCTAGATCCTCGCTATGCACGACCAGACCATATGATTCTCACGATTCTACCTATCTCGCCACCTCCCGTTCGACCCAGTATCTCGATGGACGGCACCGGTCAAGGCCTGAGAAACGAGGATGACTTGACATACAAGTTGGGTGATATCATCCGTGCGAACAGCAATGTGAAATCCGCCATCGAGTCCAGCGCCCCGGCCCATATCCTTGAAGAATTCCGGCAACTTCTACAATATCACGTCGCTACAATGATGGACAACGACATTGCTGGCCAGCCTCAGGCACTTCAGAAGAGTGGTCGACCAGTCAAGTCCATCCGTGCTCGTTTAAAGGGCAAAGAAGGCCGACTACGTGGTAACTTGATGGGAAAGCGGGTTGACTTCTCAGCTCGTACCGTCATCACTGGTGATGCCAATATCTCGCTTGACGAAGTTGGTGTACCTCGAAGTATCGCGCGTACTCTAACCTATCCCGAAACGGTCACTCCTTACAACGTCGACCGCCTTCACAAGCTAGTCGAGAATGGTCCCAACGAACACCCTGGCGCCAAGTATGTGATCAGGCACGATGGAACTAGAATCGATCTGAAGCATCACAAGCGCGCTGGTCAGATTACCCTTGAGTATGGATGGAAGGTCGAGCGACACCTTCAAGATGGTGATTATATCATATTCAACCGTCAACCCTCTCTACACAAGGAATCTATGATGGGACACCGAGTCAAGGTCATGCCCTTTTCCACGTTTCGACTCAATCTTTCGGTTACTTCTCCGTACAACGCCGATTTCGATGGTGACGAAATGAACTTGCACGTACCCCAGACCGAGGAGACGCGAGCTGAAATTCGTACACTCTGCTTGGTTCCCCTCAACATTGTTTCTCCTCAACGAAACGGACCGTTGATGGGTATTGTCCAAGATACTCTAGCCGGTGTGTACAAGATGTGCCGACGCGACGTTTTCATGACAAGAGAACAAGTCTATAACATCATGCTCTGGGTTCCTGGCTGGGACGGTATAATTCCCCGGCCCGCTATTCTCAAACCAAGACCTCGTTGGACTGGTAAACAGATTGTGAGCATGATCATTCCCAAGGAGATCAGCCTTTACACCAAGCCTCCCGGGGGTACTTGGAACCCGCCCACGGATGAAGGTGTGCTTGTCCAGTCTGGACAGCTACTGTTTGGTCTGCTTACAAAGAAGAATGTTGGTGCGGCTAGTGGTGGTATTGTCCACCTTTGTTACAATGAACTTGGACCCGAGGGTGCTATGGCCTTTTTGAATGGATGTCAACGAGTAGTTAATTACTGGCTCTTCCACAATGGTCATAGTATCGGAATTGGTGATACCATCCCGGATAAGGGAACCATTGAGCGCGTCCAAGTCCACATTGACGAGCAAAAAGCCGAGGTAGCAAGTCTGACATTAGATGCGACTACCAACAAGTTAGAGGCCCTTCCGGGTATGAATGTCCGAGAAACATTCGAAAGCAAGGTTTCCAAGGCTCTCAACTCGGCTCGAGACAAGGCGGGTACCACCGCTGAAAACAATCTCAAGGATCTCAACAACGCTGTGGTTATGGCTCGTTCTGGTTCGAAGGGTTCTTCTATCAACATTTCCCAGATGAGTGCCCTTGTCGGTCAGCAAATCGTGGAAGGAAAGCGTATTCCTTTCGGCTTCAAATACCGAACATTACCTCATTTCACCAAGGATGATTACTCGCCAGAGGCTCGTGGTTTCGTCGAGAACTCCTACCTTCGTGGTCTAACGCCTTCGGAATTCTTCTTCCACGCTATGGCTGGTCGTGAAGGTCTCATTGATACTGCCGTCAAGACAGCCGAGACTGGTTACATTCAACGTCGTCTGGTCAAGGCTCTCGAAGATGTTTGCGCTCGGTATGATGGAACTGTTCGTAACTCACTTGGTGATATCATCCAGTTCATCTACGGTGAAGATGGTCTCGATGCCATGCACATTGAGAAACAGCCAATGGATCACTGGGTTCTGCGGGATGTGGATTTCGAGAACCGTTACCGTCTCGATGTAATGGAGGGTATCCGTCCGCCGGTGCTTGAAGCATTGGAGTACGGTCAAGATCTCGTGGGTGACGCGCACGTTCAGGAGCTCCTAGATATGGAGTGGGAGGCGATTTGCAAAGACCGTGATTTCCTCCGGAATTTGAAGATCAAGGCCGAAAAGCTAGAGGATGCCTTCCAACTTCCTCTTAACATTGGTCGGCTTATTGAGTCATCGAAGAAACTTCTCAAGGTTGATGATGCCAAGCGCAGTAATCTTTCTCCGCAGGATGTCATTCCCGTGGTGAAGGATCTGTTGGACCGCATGATCATGGTTCGCGGTACCGATGATGTTTCCAAAGAAGCTGATCATAATTCAACGCTTCTTTTCAAGGCTCTACTACGTTCTCGACTAGCGTACAAACGTCTGGCTGTCTTCCATCGGCTTAACAAGCTAGCCTTCCGACACGTTATGGGTGAGCTAGAAACCCGTTGGTCTAAGTCGATGGTGAACCCTGGCGAGATGGTTGGTGTATTGGCCGCACAGTCCATTGGTGAACCTGCCACACAGATGACGCTCAACACGTTCCATTTCACCGGTATTTCGTCTAAGAATATCACACTCGGTGTACCCAGATTAAAGGAAATTTTGAACGTCGCGAGCAACATCAAAACCCCGTCTATGATGGTTTACTTGGATGGTGACACATCGCAAGAACACGCCAAGACGCTTCGAAGCGTAGTTGAGCATACTAATCTCCGCTCTGTCACGGCAATGACTGAGATTTACTATGATCCCGATATCGAGTCTACCAACATCGAGGCTGATGAAGATTTCGTTACATCATACTTCCTACTGCCCGACGACAGTCAGCCAGCGATTGATAGACAGTCAAGATGGCTTCTCCGTTTCGTTCTGGATCGACAAAAGATGCTTGATAAGGGACTTACCGTTGAGGATGTGGCTATTCGTCTTAGAGAGGAATATCCTAACGATCTTGCTGTCATTTGCAGCGACAACAACGCGGACAACCAGGTCATCCGAATTCGTCCTATGACAGAAGATAAGGACGATGGCGATAAGGCGATCGAGGATGACGTGATGCTTAAGCGTTTGGGTGAACATCTGCTTGAGAACTTGACCTTACGAGGAATTCGCGGCATCGAGCGAGCTTTCTTAAACAAGGGAGTCAAGATAGCCGTAGACAAGAGCGGCGCCCTAATCCAAGCGAAAGAGAACCCTCTATGTGAGGAATGGTATCTCGACACTCAAGGTACATCTCTACGACAAGTCCTTGCAGTTCCTGGGGTTGATTGCGGACGCACAATTACAAACGATCTATGGCAAACTTTGGATGTCTTTGGTATCGAAGCTGCACGACTTGCCCTATTGAATGAGTTGCGAAGAGTGTTGGCTTTTGATGGTTCCTACGTCAACGAGCGTCATCTTGCTCTCCTAGTTGATGTCATGACATATCGCGGTGCTATTTCCGCCGTCACTCGTCATGGTATCAACCGAGCTGATACTGGTGCGCTGATGAGATGTTCCTTCGAAGAGACGGTCGAGATTCTTCTAGAGGCTGCTGCCCACGGTGAAGTTGATGACTGCAGGGGTATATCCGAGAACGTTATGCTTGGTCAACTCGCACCAATGGGAACTGGTCATCTCGATGTATTCCTAGACCAGAAGATGCTGGACACTGTCATCTCTGACAACTCCAGGTTGGCTCTGATGCCCGGCATGAACATGAAGGATGGCCCAGTGGAAGGCGCTGCGACTCCCTACGATACCGGATCTCCGATGGCCGATTCCGGTTACGGTATCTCTCTTGCGTCACCTTCAATGGGTATGGGTAACTTCTCGCCAATCGTTGGGGCCGGCTCCGACTCGCCTTCAGGATTCGGAACAGAGTATGGTGGATTTGGTAGTGCCAGTCCCTACGGAGGACGAAGCCCAGGGGCAACTAGTCCTTTCTCTGGTGGTGCAACACCTACGTCTCCATTCAGTAGCTATGGTGGAGGCTATTCACCAACTTCTCCCGGTGGCAGCTATTCGCCTACATCTCCGATAATGGGAGGAGGTCAATACAATGCTTCTCCGCAATTCAGTCCAGCTTCACCATCGTTCTCTCCCAGCTCGCCTGGATTTAGAGCCCCGAGCCCTAGCAGCCCGACTTACAGTCCTACATCACCGAACTACTCGCCGACGTCACCGACCTCCCCGAGGCATTATTCTCCGACCTCGCCCAATATCAATTCTCCTGCGTCACCGAATTATTCTCCCACGAGTCCGACATACAGTCCGACGTCCCCTCGTCACCATGCGGCTTCTGCGTCGCCAGCTTATTCGCCTGTATCGCCCAGTTACTCACCAACTTCGCCGATACACTACTCGCCGACGAGCCCATCCTACCGGGGTGCTGGAGCACAGCAGTCCCCAGCGAGTCCCAAGTACTCGCCTACGGTTCGTTCTAGCCATGTTACTGAAATTTCCGATTCCATGCTAATATCTTCGCAGTCTCCTGGATACTCTCCTAAGACACCTGGCCCTGGTGGTAGTGCTAGCCCGAAGTTGTATGTCACATCCCCCTTTGATTAATCGATAGTAGTATGCTAACCAAGATCCATAGCTCTCCTACTTCCCCTAAGAACGATTAGTTCTTTCTTGCATAGTATACATTCACGGCGTTTCGCGCATCATTCACACTCGCATTTAAGGGGTTTCTCGTTCTGGTTTTTTATTACTATTTTCTTTTCTTCTATTACTACTACTATTCCCCCGTCTTAGTGGCACGTTCTACTAGGCAGGCTTAATGCATCATCATAGAGGAAAAGATCCCCTCCCCCTTCCAGGCACCCACACATATATCAGACTAGAATAAAAAAGTTTGCAGTCATCGCAGAAGATGGAAAAAAGGAAGTCGTTTGAGAGAAAAAGGCGAAGGAGATCTTTTTTCTCTAGTCCACGTTGTACACTAGTAGGGGACGCGAGAAAGAGCAGAAGAGGCAGGACTGGCATTTGATTTCTTGTTACTCCATTTTTTCCCCTTCCCGTCTTTGGTCCTCCCTTTGTTGTGAGGCAGACGGACGATGTATGGGCGGCAGATTGACATTGCGCCATTTTGAGGGTGGGGTTGTTTTATTTTGCGGTCGTCCTGTTCTTAAGGAGAGGGCTAAGTAGGGACGACGAGGTACGATCGAGGCGGAAAAATGAAAGGAGAGTGCGGTCGGGAGTAGTTGGACAGGCGCAGAAAATAAAAATAAAAGCACAGATGGACGCAAAAGAGCTGGGGCGTGCGAAACAACGAACGCACTACTAGTTGTTGCTTGTTCTGTTGCTACCTAGGTTCTAGAACTACTACTACTATAGTGAATCCGATTGCCTTGTTTTTGCAAATAATGACGCGATAGTATCCTGTGAATCTTCCGAAGTAATCTACCCCTATACTAATAACTAATTACCTACCTATAACATCTGTCTGCCCTACCGAGCTTGGCAAATTCTCGTATTCATACAAGATTGTAACATTGTAACGTCATATCATGATCATGGTGGTTGAACCGCGTAATTTGCTTGCGAAAGCGAAAGAAAAAATAAAAAAAAAAAGGCGAAGTGGTTGATCCGGCTTTAGGGGATTTCTTTCGGATGGTAATGAATAAGCCACCGGTGAAAAGTCGTAGTTACGAGAACGATACCCTATAATATGCCCCCTGGTTATATGTGAGGTGTTGTAATTGCCTATTACCAACAAAGTGAAAGACTGAAAATCATTGTTTTTATATTGGCTTATTCTTATTATTACCTGTTAGCTTTTCGCGACCGAACCAGATTTCGATTTGGCATTGGCGGCGGGTTGGGATGATTTGCATGCATGCATATACGTGCGTCCCTAGATGCTGGTATAGAGGCATGTACCTGTTACTTACTATGTATGATGCGATCCTACTATAATCTACCTTACATATGCTATATGTATGTACATAGGGTTTCGTAGGGGTTCGTGGTGGTTCAGTGACCAACAACGTCGTATTCCGAGATCCGCCACGTTGGGTCTTGGGTTGAATCATTGGGGCGTTTTGTTTCAAGTTGGAAAAGTTCCGTGCGTTTGAGCCTGGTCTGGTATGTGCGTACGTAGATTGGTTAGACGTAAGACTCCTCCATCCTATGTGCCGTGATCCTTTGTTTCCTCGGCGTTCTCGCCTCATACTTGCAGCTCAGCTGGAAGGTCCGTTTTATTCATTTTTTTTTCTTATCTGGTTTGGGACCATTGCTGGGTGCCCTATATAGCAATAAGCTAAGATGGTGGGGAAAGACGTAAGAAGAAAAAAGCTTCTACATGGAACAACTGCATTTTCCATGTTTCATGTTTGACGCAGGGTGCGATCAGTTAATTGAAGAAAGAAGGTGGCGGCCGGCGCGCAAACGGACATGTGCCGTAAACCACATGTACACCACGTGAGGGAGGAGAGTGGAAAGGCGGAGATTTCCGCCTAAAATGCCCCAAAAAATATATGTATTATATTGTCACATGGCACATCCTTCTCTTTCCGGAGGTGCTTTGTAAATAAGGAGGTGAGTAAGAACAAGGTTGGGGTCCGAAAGCGATTGTGCGGGATAGGCGCGGTGTCTAACGTAAGAGTACCGATCTGGGGCCATAAGGCTGGTAGTGAGAACAGCGAGGAAGGATAGTGGCTTGGGCCCATGTCCCAAAGGCGGTAGTTGTAAGTGGGCTATGCCCGGTGACTGGGCAGCTGGGGCAAGCCGGGGATAGTTCATGCAGTACTAGGTACCTAAGCAAGGGCAGATCAGTATGCACACCCTGTCAGTTGTTCTAGCCAATTCCCATAAACTGGGAGACTTGGCGGGAGGTTCGGCTGAGCCTTTCGTATAATTATAGAACCTCCGGCCAGCTCGGCAAGGCGAGCCTGTAGAAATCACATCTCAACCGGAAAATATCCCCCCATGGTCTGGTTATTTCTACGAATTCGGGACCGCTGATATCTGAATTCGACACCAGTTTTCTTAGCAAGCTACCGGTGGGCGACATTATGTTTGAAGGTGTGCCCGGTCTGATCTAATCTCAATAGTACGGAACTGCCCCCCACGACTGGGGATGGCGTAAAGAGCGGGTAAGATAATGGTTATCTTTTTCATGTAATCAACAGGGTGATGAAGCTGACTAAAACGTTGGTCCGGATGGGTAGATCGCCGTCTGGGAGATGCAGTCCCCGATATTGAACTGCTCGACCAAGTAGTCACACTGCATTCTGTGCGCTAGATTCGGTCGAAACCGAAAGGCCTTCGCAGTAACACTAGAACACATATAGAAACGTTAAGCGACAGGAACCTTTGTTGGGCGTCTATAGAATTGACTGCATTGAACGCGTACGTCAGCTATAATGTACCAGAAGCAGCAAGGGGACGATGATTAGGTTAGCTATTCCCTCACATGCGTCCTTCTTGGCCACGAGGTTCGACGATATACGGATGTAACTATTTGTCAAGACTGACGTGAACTGGGTCAATCAGGCGATTTTAACCAGTCTGCTATGGCTGTGTTTTTCTTTTCTAATGTTTTGAGCTTACATATAGAGAAGTCTGAAGACTTCACCAGGGCTGCGTGGCTATCAATAAACAGCGGTGAGAGATGCAAAGAATCCTTACCTTTCCTCCCAGTCTAGTTTTAATTGCGTCAGCGTGAACGAAATAGAGGGTATAACTCTGGCACATAATATTATTGTGCTGAATTTCAAAGATTGATCCTGCTGCCCGAGTCCTTCGCTTGACTGTGATATTGGCGCATGTAAGTCGACGCCGACATTATACTAACCAGTATAGTGTTCCAAATTATATGATACCTATAGAATGATCTGATACCGTCAGCATGGCTCTATAAATGATCAATCTTACTTGTTCGGCTCTTAAGGGAATAGGCTTCAAAGTGGCCCAAAGCCTATAGGCAGTGGCTGCAACACGATCCCTACGCAGGACCCCTAGCCAGATAGCTTATGTCAATTCGTTATATGTTTGAACGGATTTAAATAAGCTTAGTATCTCTGTCCAGTATAAACAGGGCGGTTAGTTTCAGGACTGCAAGATAGTGAGCGGGGGCCATTCTACTCGGGGTCACCTAGTAACATATTGGAAGGTCGGACCAGGGCAATTGAAGATCCTAACACCGCCGCGATGCAAAAACGAGCGCCGAATACCACGGAAGTAGTATTCGTGGGGCTTTCTTCAGAATGTACACAGTCCCAATTGATTTACGGAATAACTCCGCATAGCTCAGTCATTATACAGCATTTGTTAAAGGCTTGTGATCAAGGTATTAGATATGAGAAACCCAAGTAGTCGCATGATGCGCATGATCTCTTCAATCTGTATCTGACTGTAGTAACGGTACCTAGGTAGTAAATCTCGGGGATAAGGAGGTTTCTAAATTGATTAGCAATCATGATATAACTAGGGAATAAAGGAATGGCCACGGAAACCAAGCTATATCAAACTGGGTAGACTCGATAGGGCGATATAGAGATTCCGGAAGTTCGACACGACCTATTTGTCGCACGAGGAATTTTACCTTGTCGGTGGGGCGGTTTGAACCGAGCTTAAGCAAATCTCCGTTCGACTACCCCATAACAGAACCCGACGAGGATATCGAAACCCGCCAAGGAGACATATTCGTCAAGCTCGGTGAGAAATGAGCATTGTCGGTGAGTCTTATCTCGCCACAGAGCCTGAGACAAGGTGACATTAGACAGAGAGCAAAAGAACAGGTGTCCTGCAAGCTCAGCGGAACCAGGAAATGTCCTGTCGTTCCGGTCTCACGCCGTGCAAAGTGCTAACATGTTCAATTAGCAGTTGTGTTTTGCGTTCATACCATAGCTAAATCGCGCACCCGGGTGTCTGTTGCAGCAAGATTGTCGCGCTGAATACCTAACCGGGCGGTGTCACGGAGGATCCAGCGTAAATTGGGAAATCATCCGTAATAACATAGTTTCCTATTCTGTTTACCATATATGTTAGTTATTCGGGGATTGCGATATGCATATTCTGCATACCCCTTCTTATACCTAGGTATGTGCGATATAGGTATGATCATTGGTAAGTGAACGGGGAACGATCAGGTTAACGATTATCGATTATACGCAACCCCACAAGCCAAGACCGCTCCGAATTGACCAATCAAGTTGGGGGGCAGTAGGCACTTTGTGCCATTGTGGAATTTCCCTTACTTCTTTAACCCCTGTGTGTTGCATGGGAATAAGAGCTTTCCGGGTAGAGTTAATAGGCTGGCGAAGCCAAACCATGGGTCTGGTTTTCGGTTGGCCTGCCTACAAATCTGAGGCAAGGCTGATAGGGCGAGTTCGATGAACTTAAGATTATAGGATAAGCCTAATGTGACTTCAGTGCAGCCAATCCGCAACCTGGAGAGCCCACTTGGCAACCACCAACGCTACATTCTATCACATCAGTATAACCTGTGGAAGTTGAACAATCCGGGTTATCCAGATAGCGGTACCTAGCTTGTCAGGTAAGAGCGAGGTTGGCTACCTAGGTAGGTAGTTAGGTAGCCAAGGAAACTCATTTCCTTTTCGTTCTCGACGTTGGAACTATCCTAGACGCCATGAGGCGGTTTCTAACCGCGCCGAATACACGCCGTAGCCGCCACACGTTTAGATCATCCCGGAGCCGCAAGGGTTGTGCATGAGGCGATGATGGACGCAGGGGTAATGGCAGCTTTTCCACTAGGATACCTAGGTACGTTACCAGGTTAAGCGGGAAGGAATCCGCTCCAGCCGATCTATGACGGCAGCGCCGTTGGCGACAAGCGTATTTTTTGAATGGCATTGTTGATCCATGAAGATGCAGACATAAGAACGTTTCTTGTCCACCGAACAATATTCCGCCTTGTGTTTGACTGATGCAAAATATGTACTTATCCAGGGTATTGATTTTAACGAATGCGGTCGACTGCACAGCACGGTTGTGTGTGGAATTGTGTATCTCCGGATTATAATCAAGATTATAGAACCACTATTAGGTACTTCTCAGCCGTTGGTTTGCCAAGACTAATTCGCAATCAGCTAGAATGAGTTACGTAGACCGTAAGACCATAGTTTGTTGGTTTGACACATTCGTATTGTTCGGTCAGCACACTGCCCTAATTCGGCCCATAGACGCAGCTTTCCATCGCCATCCGAGTCTTGGGTTGAAGGCGATCGAATAGGCGGTGATTATAGGTTGCATTAGGGGTAGTAAGGGCTTACTTGGGTAACACAATGTTGGCAGCGGAATGGAAGAAAAATAATATAGGATAAGACAACTAGAAAAAAAAAAAAAGAGGGCAGAATAAAGGGGCATAAAGGTAGGTTGCCTTGGGGAAAGGAGACTAAAAGCTCGTAAAATGTCGTGTAATCCGATGTTGTATGCTCAGAACAGGATAGAATGTCGTATTTGCCGGGACCGGGCCGCCCTAACGGGCCAACGCGCATTTAACGATGGCGCGGTGTCGAGCAAGTAGAGAACCAGTGGCGGGCTTTCGCCCTCCCACCTCGACCGACTGTAACGTCAAATGAGCGAATAAGTAAAGTAGAAATGTAATGCCAATGAAGATCAAGGTTGTTGGTCGTCGGGCCGAAGGTATACTCCTACGCTCTTACGGGCAGAGTCATGTAATTAGACGCGATGTGACAGGGCTGACGCGCCCATGTAGGGTTGCGGTAGGGTCGCCATTGGTTGGAGAACCGCGATGAACGAAATGAGTAACCATCAATCTGAATAGGGATGATCGGTCTAGACGAATTACCAAGCTAGGTAGTTAGTCATTGATCCAGGTTAATCTACCTAGGCAACTAGGTCCCCGATACTGCGCTTTTCATTTGTGTGTGGCGGATGTATGGGTAGGTCCGTAGTGGTAGAGTGTGGGGGGAGAAGATGCAAGAAAAAGGGAGATTTAGATTGAGTTGTGTGGGAAGAAACCTGGAGGTGGGAAAACTAGATCCGATCGTTCCATTTGATTAGGTACTTAGGCTAGGGCTGCTAGGTTAGGTAACTGGTTATTACAGGTCAGGTACGACCAAGGTGGGCAGCAGAGACAAGTCTATGAATCACCGTACCTGCCGACGCCGAAAGTTCTCTGTCTCCTCTTTGCTTTAGACCTTCCCCTTCCCCTTCCCCTTCCTCTTTTTTTTTTCCCTCTCGTTAAATAGTATTCGCTATTGAGATGTACATCAAATGTATCGTTTCAAACAGCCAATCAGATAGGAAAGTGGTATGGTAATGTACCCTTAATATAAATATACATATTGTACGACGTCGCAGCTACCCAATATTATGTAACTGCCGATTTGACGTACATTCAATTGAAATGTGTCGTATACCTACATGCTACATGCTACATGCTACATTGGGTAGCCAGGCACGCAAGGGATAATGCTACCGAAGAGATAGAGTACTGACTTTTGATCTAGGCTAAATGATCAATCATTTCGCCAAAATCGTAACCTTTCTCCAATCATCACCCACCAAATTATGACTTTCTCTTTTTTTTTCTTCCAACCATCACATTCAAATTCTTTATTTTAGTTTGTTACTTTCTCTCGCTTGCACCTCAATAATCACATGATGCATACTGGATGCGAGTAGCGCCTCATTACCTGCAATTCAACTCACGGCCACGGTAGGATTCTTCCAATGCGGCGCATTTTCTTCGCAACGTCAGCTTGTCTTCACCTTATTTTTGTATTTCTAAAATACGCTTGTTCCGTGTTGGCCGCCAACAGCAATGTTGGTTGAATAAGTCCCGCGCATTCGGGGTTGCGACCCAACTGACATGGATAATCAAGGCTTCTACTGCTTCTTGTTCTCCTGTGTTCTCTGTGCTCTAAGTGCGACGATGACTCCCTCCACGTCTGCCTTGTAGTAATTATCTGTGCCCTCGGATGGCCACTTTTGACCGCGGAAGTGGCCGTTATATTTCCTCGTGTCACGTTTTACGGCCGCGACTTGACCGCATGCTGGTAGCCGTTTCTGCCATGCCATTCGACGCGAATTTCGGTGAACACTTTTTAAGAGTTGTGGCAATGGACTCGGAGTTATAGAAAAATGAAACAATGTAATTCAAAGGGAAAAAAAAGACTATCTGAAATTATCCCACCCGCCAGTCAAGTACAAAACTAGTAGTAGCTTTTTGAATCCCCCCCTTTAAGAGCCCGCTCCATGGCGTCAATGGAATCCGGGTCAGATTGCTCCCAGAGAAAAGAAAGCAAATAATAATAATAATAATAATAGAAACAACGACTACCGGATGTAGTCCACCTTTCCGAGCACTTCGAGAGAGTGTATGTGTAGAGTTGCCGAATGCTGACGCCAGGCCGAGTTTTCGACAACCATTGGTAATAGACGAAAGGCAAATTGAGGTATCGAGGCGATTGCTCGCAAAACGCTCTTCCATCCTGCGCCCTCACTCCCCAGCCGTCCGACCATGTTCGCCAGAAGGGTTCCTACCAGTAGATATCTCCAAGCAGAACGCCAAGTCAGTCAAGGACAGGAACTATAAAGTCGATGCCCTTTACATAGAAGCGTTTGATGCTTAAGCGTGTTTATCACACGGACCATCGTTGCTAACCGCTTCTGGCTTTATCCCTTTAGCGCAACTTCCAATGCTGTTTGGGCTCTCGGCACACGGGGCTTCCTGTGGCTCGGTGCATCCACATGAGTATGTGATCTGGTAAATCTTGCACATTTTGAAGATGAGCCTTCTCGGATTGTGACGGAAATCGCAATATGTAAATGATTTAGATCTATTCGTCTCGAGTAAGTACAAGCGTGTGTGTAGTCAAGGTGGTAGACGAACGGTATATTCAAATCCAAGAGGAAACTTTGTGATTTTGATGAGACGGTCTTGATGATTTCAAGGACGGAGCGAATATGGTATGTAGATAGTTACTCGTAAAGATTGATTCGAATAGTTTGAATCAGATGTTGAGTAGAGTGCGTGATGACGATGAGAAACAATATTGATTATCGTAGTGGGAAAGAGAGGGAATTTATATTGCTCGAGGCGGGATCGTGAATCACCTTTTGTGTAGACGGGTATGTCTATGTCAGGTCCCTGATTGTTTGTCACAAGATCGACTAAACTGTGATATAAGCGACTTAGCCGCGGGATGCTTCAGTTGGTAGTAGACTACCGCGAAGTGTTTTTTGGCCGCCGCAGCAGATCTCGAGAATGCCCTGTTGGGAGTAGAACAACTTCGGGCTAAAATAACAGGTGGTGTGTATAAATTAGCGACTATCATCAGACTGGAAGTCACCCTCCTTATTTCCAACATGTATCTAGACAGTCGAAGAACTTATAGAGAAAAGGGGAAAGTGTAATATGAGCTTGCTGCAGTTGGAAGTGTGGAATGGCGGCCGCGAGATACGCGTGGGTTCTGCGGCAGCAGCTTTATGCATCCGTGAATTCGGTGGAGAAGTTGGGATTAGGGTCGGTCCTTGGAAAAGAACCATTGGGTGTAGAAGCGGACGTCATCTGGTAAGGTACTCTAGAAAAAGTCGTTCTCCTAAGGCATTTCCACCACGCAGGTCAATGGCTCAGTTCCCGTACTAGGGTCGAACTACCCGTGGACAAAGCAGGGGTATTGCGGCGTTCCGATCAGGAAGACAGAATACAAAATAGAAACCGGTGGAGAGGAGTATGTAAAATGAGATTGAATCGAGTGTGTGGGCGCGCGTTGGCGGCCAAGAGAGGAAGAGGACGTGGTTGTAAGGTTAGGTAAGGCACGGTGCTGTAGGCAAGTAGTCCATCCACAGGCGTTCTTCTCACCAGCAGACGGGCCAATCTAGTTGGACAATGGCCCTTAGGGGTCGACCACTGCCCTAGCAGTAGAAATATACGTCTGACAGTTCCTGCAAACCGGTTGGCAGAACATGCGAATGATCCCGGGGCTGTTGCGTTTGCTTCCTTTTTTGATTGTAACCGTTGGCTGCTTTTGATTTCATCATTATACCTAGTTGTTATCATGTGTGCTACCATATTTTGCCCGCTAAAGGACTAGGCAGCTATGGGTATCCAACAATAGTATGATTTCCTAGTGCTAAGGATTCCCGCAGAGCACTTCACGAGGCCCCCGAAGGCATGTCAAGTGCTGTTAGACTTGCCTAGGGACGCCACACAGCTAGAGCTTCGATGTTTGTGTGTTCACTGGACGCCGGACCCGACAGCTTATTTGGGGTGAGAGGGTTACGTACTTAACCCCCGTCCATCCTTTCCCGATTGCTTGCCCTGACCTAGCTCCAAGGGTGGTGGAAAGTGGGCCATCCCGTAGGCAAGCAATGGGCAATGAGACAGGGAGATCTAGATATGGACCGAGTGCGAAATGTAGTATTATTTTTTTTCTCTCGAGACGAAAAGGGAAAGGAGGGGGATAATTTGAAAAAATAAAAATAAAAATAAGAAAATGAAATAATGAAAAGGGCAATAATAAATCGTCCGTCTGGGCGGATGTGCTCTGAATCCTTCCCGTTGGGACCTGACCTAGCCAACTGCAAATCTATAGGTATGTAGGTACCAAGAACATCTGCGGCATGTGTTAAGTTGAAGTGAGGCCCCTGGCATTGCTTCGTGGAGCTTACAGTAAGTAGGGGAGAAAAGCGCATAACCCTGTCAAGGCGGCTTAGATCACCAGTTGGCGTGGCTTTATCAAACCATACATATACCCGTTAGGTATAGGTACCTAATCGTAGGGAAAAAAATAAGATAAAATAGCGAAAGGCGAGATGATGGGAGAATGGAAAAAACGAAACATGGGAGAATCACAAAGTCCAGGCAGGTGGAGCAAATTCTGGGGGCAAGGGGGGGTTGGGTTTTCGGTACGTACCGCACCTCTTTGTTTCAAATATTCATAAACAAGTACCAAGGTACCTGAACTTGTATCTAAGTATCTACGTATATAATATAGGTACTCCAGCACACCAAGCAAGAACGGGAACCGAGTAGGATATCTTAGCAGGCACATCTGTACCCCTACTTGCCTAGATTTCCCACCAACAGGGGGCCAAAATTCACACCTTCCAGGCTGTACGTAAATACCTAGGTACCTACATATGTACCTAGGTAGGTACGTAACTTAATCTCACCCACTCTACAAGTCTTCTCTCCAACAACATCCAAGCATCATCCATACCCGCATCGTATGTGTATATGGGATGTAAGTCATGACATGGCACAAACAGTTTTTGTCCCACGATTTTATGCGGTAGATTGCAGTAAAAATCGGGAGATGAAAAGAAGGAATAAATAAGAAAAGAGCAAGAACAGAAAATTACCCGATGCGTAACAGAACACGGGGCTTGGGTGCCCACGCACGACACCACTACACTACTTACATGTAGAGCGACATACATGCGTTGCGATCCTGCTCCTTGTCCGCCGGCGGCGCATCATTTCATGCAGAGAATATTCGCCCGTCCAATTTTTGCAGACTACCGGGATTCGTGTTCGAAAGGGGAGTTTCCAGAATACTTCTCTCAGGGTCATTGCGTCTTCGCCCTCTCCCGATTGAGTGAAGCTGTGCCGCTTGGCCCAGTCCCGTCCGCTCCAACCTGTAATGATGCCAATGCCCAATGGCCGTACCTCTCATCCGCCGGAGACGGCAAGTCATACCCTCTCGATGCGTTTTACATGCCTGCACGGTATGCCCAACTAGCCGAATGGGACGGGCCGGCTACCGTCCATCTCAATCTGCCGGGGTGTTATAGAACGAACTGCTAGGCCCTGTGTTTATTCACCATCTAACAACTAACGACTAACATCGTTCGTACAGGGCGAACATGCGTACTATGGGGCAACACTGCCGTGGAGAGACCAAGTACAGCATGCCCAGTTGTCTACCATCTGATGATAATCCTTAGCCTGATGCAGAACAGCTGTGCATGAAGTAAGGGAGAAATCGAGTTGAACGGGAATCTACGGCACATACACACATACATACATGCCTTACATACGTACCTACACTTATTTTGGCTTGGCATCATTTCATCGACTTAACTTGTCTGCCGGCCTAGTACCTAGATTCGGGAACTGTTGGGTCGTGGCCGTTGTCACCCGAGGGGCGACTTAAGCGTCGGTCCCTGATCTGAATATCAAGACGACGACGAAGATTAATCGCTCCAGCCTTCTATCCAATTGTAAGTTCAGACCGTATTTGCAATAGTGCACTCGTTTACCTGCCTCTCTCGATCGGGTGTGGACCCCCAATAAAAAATGAAATAGACGACAGGTTAATTCATCCAGTCACGATCATTCAAGACAAACAGCTCAGCCCATTCGCGTCAATCACCCTGTTACACAATTGAATTCAAATTGAACAGTGAGTCATTCGCTGAATCTTATTAAGTACTACGCTAATAGTATATCCTATTTTAGAAACTAGTCAGAAAATAAAGAAGCACTAAGAGTGAAAGATTTTGATGTAGCCGTTAATATAATCTTCCAACCAACATTCATCTGGTACAACAACCAGCCTTATGGCCCGCCGCTTATGCGACCATCCCTCCCCCTTAAGAATGTGTATTCGGCTGTCTCGCAGAGCTGCAGCCGAAGAAATGACCCACATCATCGGCTGCTCTTACGTCCCGCCCCCAATGCCGGGGCTCTCCTTCTAACCTACAGGTGTTTTGGATCAAGTGACCCCCTAATCTTGAGGAGCCCTATGTCGGCCGGAGTCACCATCGGATATCGAACCTACGGCCGTACCTAGGTAACGTTGGATTGTCTGCAGCGGGAGGTTGCCTGGCGCAAAGCCTTCGCTGGGGCTTAATAACGACGGAAGGGCAATTTCGCCGTATCACTCACATATTTCTAGCCCTTGACCTATTTGAAGGTCTTTTAACCGGTCTATGCGAATTTGCATTTTCGATCTTTACTCCCAAGTATCAACTTAATGAGCCTGACGTGGAGTCAGTGACTTAGTCCGACCTCCCACTTGACCAACTGACATCGGGATGGCCGAGATCTCTTCTCGGGGAGAGTTCAACCTTGGATCTCTCTAATTTCTGGACATACCATCCACCAAGTGTGACTTGTTGCGCTTGACCCTTTGATCTTTGTGCAATACTAGTGTGGGTGTTTTGTCTAATCCCATCATATCTTGTGGTTCGCCTAAAGCCGTCGCTATCCCACAATTCAATCTGCCCCGAGTCAGGGGCCACTGGAAATAGCAGTGCAACTCTCCCCCTTTCTACCCAGAATATATCACTCTTAGATTGGAGGATCCTAGTCAGTTTCCGATATGTTTTACTAGTCACTGCAGTAGTTAAGTTACTGAGTTCGCGTAGTATACATGCTCTTGCACTTGGCGCGCTGGGATAGAGCGGGACAGAGCGGCAATGGGACGTTTCATCACACAAGCAAATCAGGAATTCAGATGAGTTACTAATTCATTTGGATTTCTTAGCAGAGTTTCCTATTTTGATCTCGGCCT